TCAGGGAGCTGGGTGACTATGTAGTAGAGGGTGATGTACATGGGGGGGGGGTTCTTGGCACAGAACTCAGCAGGAAGCGCAGCGCGGTAGCGAGTGTCACTAGTGCGGAGGTGCGTAATGAGGTCAGCGACTGTGGGAAAGGCAGCAAGGTCAGGGAAGAGGTACGGTAGCATGAGGCGGCTCAGCGCAGCAGTGGCAGGGGAAGAGTAGCGTGCAACTACAGCGTCGTACAAGGTCTGAGCACTCTTGTACTGGCTAAAGTGCGCACGCTCAGTGGTCCGTAAGTGGCGACGCACAGCAAGACGGGCAGCAGCATCGCGTGTGGCCCACTGTGAGCGAACAGTGCTGTCAGCAGTAGCAGGCGGGGCAGGGGAGGCACCAGAGGTGAGATCGAACAGGGAGAGTCCGTCTGCCCTATCGCACTGTAGGAACAGCTGAAGGTCATCGACCAAGACCTCAAAGTCAACAGCACGACCCTCAGCATCAAAGGTAAGAACACTGGGGTTAGCCATGACTGCAGTGGCCTAGCAGGGAGTGATCTCACCAGTCCGAGTAAGTAGGGCCGGGGCGCGCCGGTAGGAACAGTAGCGGCTCGACGGCAGGGTGGCTCGGCGGCTCGGCTGCTGGGCGGCTCGGCTGTCGGGCGGCTCGGCTGTCGGGCGGCTCGGCTGTCGGGCGGCTCGGCGGCTCGGCTGCTGGGCGGCTCGGCGGCTGGGCTGTTGGGCGGCTCGGCTGTCGGGCGGCTCGGCGGCTCGGTTGCTGGGCGGCTCGGCGGCTCGGCTGCTGGGCGGCTCGGCGGCTCTGCTGTTGGGCGGCTCAGCTGCTGGGCTGCTCGGTAGAGGCGGCGACGGGGCCGGCAGAGGTGGCGATGGGGCCGCTAGGGGCGGCGACGGGGCCGCGTAGGGAGGGGAGCGGCGACGGGGCCGCTAGGGGCGGCTACGGGGTCGCGTAGAGGCGGCGACGGGGCCGTGTAGTGGCGACGACGGGGCCGCGTAGGAAGGGGAGCGGCGACGGGGCCGCTAGGGGCGGCGACGGGGCCGTTAGTGGCGGCAACAGGGCCGCGTAGGGGCGGCGACGAGGCCACTAGGGACGGCTACGGGGCCGCGTAGGTAGGGGAGCGGCGATAGGGCCGCTAGGGGCGGCGACGGGGCCGCGTAGGGGCGGCGACGGGGCCGCGTAGTGGCGGCGATGGGGCCGCGTAGGAAGGGGAGCGGCGACGGTGCCGTTAGGGGCGGCGACGGGGCCGCTAGGGGCGGCGACAGGGCCGCGTAGGGGCGGCGACGGGGCCGCGTAGGGGCGGCGACGGGGCCGCGTAGGGGCGGCGACGGGGCCACGTAGGGAGAGAGGCGGCGACGGGGCCGCTAGGGGCGGCGACGGGGCCGCGTAGGGGCGGCGACGAGGCCGCTAGGGGCCGCTAGGGGCCTGGAAGGGCGGCGAACAAGGCGCGTCTCGGGCAGGAGCGACTGACGCTCCGGTCAGAAAAAAAAATTAGTGGTGGGCCCAAGGAAGCGTTCCCACTAGGGAACCTGCTCTATACCATGTGAAGAAACGAGGAGTGAATGAACTAGCACAAGGTTGGGTACAAGTAGGAAACCCTAGGAAACTGTACCTCATAGTGTCTACCCCACTATAGCCTAGACAAGCTATATGATATAAGTTTGACACAGGCAGCTACCGGAGGGAGTGATCCACACACCAAGCAACTTCTCCGCCTCATCCTTTTTCGCCCACCTGAAGCTATGAGTCCGGCCGGTCGTCCTTCCAAGGTTATTACCCAACGGTGAGATGACCAATTTTTCCGGTTCGTCGCTAGTCCAGATGTCAGCTCAAATTTCGCCAGCACCTGTTCTGCTCTTATGATCTGCTGCTTCCCTTCCAGGATCAAGGTGGTGTCGTCCGCGTAACCGATATACGCCAGTCGCTCATCAGCCTTGCTGATTACCATCTTTCGCTTAAGGACCGTCTGCGCTAGAGGTTCAACTACTCACAAAAAGAGGTATGGCGCGAGCGGGCATCCTTGCCGGACTCCAAATACCACCTCTATACCTTCCCCCATCCAGCCGTTTACTAACAGTCGCGTCTGTGTTCCTTCATGCAGACCTTCCATCCACTTCATGAAGCGATCTGGGAAGCCCATCGCTCTCATCGTCCGGAAGAGGTAACCTTGCGAGACTGAGTCAAATGCCTTCTTGAAGTCGACAAGAAGGAGGAACCAGTCTTCATTATCTCTCCGCGCCGTATCGATGATATCCGCCACAAGGCCCACCGCGTCTGTCAGGCGCCTCCCCGGTAGGAAATCGTATTGCTCCGGCGATATCACTCTGCCCAAGAACTTCTTCATTCTGTCAGCCAGAACCCGCGCCAGCACCTTGTAGGTAAAGTTGAGGAGAGTGATGGGCCTGTAGTTGTTGAGCTGGTCCTTGTCGCCCTTTTTGTGAAATAAGATGGTAACTGCTTCCTTCACCTCCGTCGAGAGGGTCGCTGACGATGCAAAGTCTCTTGCCAGTGCCATGAAACCTCTCCCCAGCAGGTCCCAATGAGCTTCAAACAGTTCTTTCGGCAGGCCGTCTTTCCCCAGAGATTTGTTCGCAGCCCTTGCGCTAAAAGCCCGCTTCACCTCCTCTTCTGTCCAATCAGCTGATAACTCCGTTGCTTCCCAGGATGGCTGTGTTTTCCCCTTCTCAGGCTTCCATTTTTCCTCCAACTGACAGCGATCTGTCCCGAAGATGTCAGCGAAGAAAGCCGATGCCGCCCGAAGAATACCCTGAGAATCGGAGACAACACCGCTCGCTGTTTGCAACTCAGCAATTTGAGTGCTCGCCTTTCTCGCCTGCACCATCGCCGTCAAGTGCTGTGATGCAACTTCCCCTCTGAGCTCCAGCCGCATACCCGACATCAGGTGAAGCTTGTCTTTTCGTGATGCCTGATATTCCCGCAACTGCGCTTCCTTCAGCGCTAACTTCTCACTCGTTGCTTTGCAGGTCGGGTCACGCATCATCGCCTGGCGAAGCTCCGCAACCACGTCAACCAAGTGAGTCGCCGTCGCCTTAGTCCGCTTTCCCTCCTCTCTTGCAAAAGCACGAAGACCGCCTGCCAAGCGCGACAGCAACAGCTCGAAGCTACTACCGTCCGTGACAACACATTTCTCTACCGTCGCCTCCACTATCCTCCGAACACCCCTCTTGTGAATCATGGAGGCGTGAAGTCTCTAGAGACCAGGACCGAGGCAGATTTTGGCATCTATTCGAAGGGCTATTCTAATCGCGAAGCTGTGATCTGAAATATAATCCGCCGGCATAACGTGGGATGCTTGGATCAGGTGAGGGAGAAGAGAGTGAGAGATAAGGGCACGGTCAATACGTGTGCTAGCTTGTTGGGCTTGCGAAAAGAAGGTAAACTCCCGTTTCCTCGGATAGAGTGTTCTAAAAGCGTTTGAGAGCTGGAAGGCTTGGCAGCGAGTGAAAAGCCTATCGTTTTCAGCGGTAGATCCTAAGCGTGACGACTTATCTAATATCGGATCTTCTACAATGTTAAGATCTCCGATAATGAGCAGGTGGTTGGACGGCGGGATCAGATCTATCACCGGACCTAAGGTGTCTCGGAGGAACGTGGCACGGGAAGTCGGATTGGCTGGAAAGTAACATGCCACGACCGTAAGCTGTAAGCGAGGCCATGGATTTCTGCGGATACTAGGCGACCCGAGGGGTGAACTAACACGTTGCGGAAGCTAAGAACTTGTGATCTACAGAGCAAGGCCACACCACTGGCTTTGGATCTAGGCGAGGCTGCAGCTGCTAGGCTGTAAGTGGGGTGTGACCAGAGCGGGTGGTGTCAGAGGTCCACTGGTGATCCCCGATTGATCCTAGGGAAGGGTTACAGGCATGTTGGCCTGGGGGGTTATGGGCGCACTGACCCGCCACACAAACAAGCCCTTTTATCCCAATGGTCTAGTGGTTGGGATTCTGACAGGTGGTCTGAGCCTATTCTAGTGTCTGAGAGGACAATGATGTCGGCTGCTTGTCTGGACCAGTCTAGAACTCGTTGTCGTTTGGTCTTATCTCCTAGGCCGTTGACGTTGAGGCCTGCAAAACTGACAAGGCTTTTCTTACTCAATTAATAACAAGCTGAGAACCCCTACGCATCCACAGGGTAAGAAGAAGACCGACACCAACTACTAAGAGGACTACTGCTGCTGCTGCTGCCTGTCTGCCGAGCTGCTCTTGCTTCAGATCCCATAATCCTTCTTCGTGACGTTGAGGCTCACTTTCTCGAGAGAGGCACGAGTGGCAGAGCCGAGCTTCTCCATGTGAATGAGGTGGTTGGCGGATGTGACATGATCGGCCGCAGTCATGAAGCTTTTTCCCTTCGCCTTCCCGCAGCCCACTTGCGTGCAGATCCATTCCTCCCGATTCCCTCCGGTGGAGATGAGCACCATGGCCGGGTCCAGCAAGATCGGGGTGATCAGCGGGGAGGCCGGGAGAGACACAGCTGCAAGTTACGACTTGGCGGTTAGTACAGACGCAAGTACAATGGTAAGTATGATCAGAAAGGTGAAAGCAGTTACCATTAATGCGATGAACCCTCCCCAAGGTAAGGTTCCACTTTCCTATGTTATTTTGCCGTTCCGTGACGAAAGCGTCATGATTAACATCATAATGCTGGCCACCACAGAGCAGGCAAGATAGCGCAGGGAAGTGGACCAGGTAACGACGACCAATCTCCAGCGGATCTTCGAAAGCATGACGCCAACGGTAGTGGTCACCAGGGTGCGGGATCACCAGTCCCTTAACGACGTCGGTGTCAGCGCCAGTGACTGGATGTAGAACACGGTGAAAGCAAACTCCGTCCTTGAACGCTGACCGCCTCCGGTTCCGCAGCTGATAAACCACCATCAGCTCACGCAGCATCTCCGGCGTCTTCGTCGCAGGTACGTCGCGCATCACAACTTCAATCGCATGCGCGTTAGTCGCGCGCTCCTTCAGAAATGCTCGGTTGTCGGTATGTTGCCAGTAGAGTCGGAAAACCGATCCGTTGGGATGCGTGTAGTCAACCTCCTTCGCTCTGATGCTCTGGTGATTCCCCTTCAACCTTACTCCATTCCGCCCCCACACCTTCCAACCCCTCCCCCTTTCCTCTGCAAACTCCCTCTCCGCCCAACTCCTCTCCTCACTGCCCCCACAGCGCAGTGACCGTTGGAGTGACTTTTGAGAACCGTCAAAAGCCCTCTCCCCGCCCTTCCCTTCCCCCTCTCCCCCCCTGTAGAGGCTGCATCATGGCCTTGCCTGTCTCCAGCCCTAACCCCCCTGCCCTCCCTCCCCTGACCCCCCCTCCTCCCCCCTCCATGCCGTTCTCTGCTTTATAGTGTTGCAGGGCTTCATTTCCCTGCTCCCTGCTCCCTGCCCCCTCTTCCTCTTCTCTCCCTGCTCCCCCTCTCCCCTCCCTCCAGTGGCTCGTGCAGTGCAGTACAATGCAGCGCTGGCGTGCGTCTGCTACATGGCATTGCAGAGGTTCTTTCCCCTCCCTGTCCCCCTCCTTCCACTGCCCTCCCTTCCCCCCCCTTCTCCCTTTCCCCTACCCTCTCTTCCCCCTCCCTGCAGTGGCTGGGCCTGGTGCATAAATTGCAGCTCTGGCGTTATCTGCATCATGGTATCGCAGGGCTGCATGGTGCTGCAGGGCTGCATGGTGCTGCAGGGCTGCATGGTGCTGCAGGGCTTCATTCCCCTGCTCCCTTCCCCCTCCCCCTCCTCCTCTTCTTCCCCTGCTCCCTTCCCTTCCCCCCCTTCCCCTCCCCCCTTCCTCTGCTCTCCCTGCTCCCCCTCTCCCCCCCCCTGCAGTGGCTCGTGCATTACAATGCGGCTTTGGCCTGCATCGGCTGCATGGTGCTGCAGGGCTTCATAGACGATGTGCTCGAGACACCCAGCCGTGTGTGAGTGGGTGCTGGAATGGGCTGGGCGCTGGGACAGTCTTGAGGCACCTCTAGCCTGCATCGGCTGCATGTTGCTGCAGGGCTTCATAGACGACGTGCTCGAGACACCTAGCCGCGTGTGAGTGGGTGCTGGCCTGGGTGCTGGGGAACGAGTGCTGGGGAATGGGTGCTGGGGTATGGGCGCTGGGGAATGGACGCTGGGGAATGGGCGCTGGGGAATGGGCGCTGGGGAATGGGCGCTGGGGAATGGGCGCTGGGGAATGGGCGCTGGGGAATGGGCGCTGGGGAATGGGCGCTGGGGAATGGGCGCTGGGGAATGGGCGCTGGGAAATGGGCGCTGGGGAATGGGCGCTGGGGAATGGGTTCTGGGGAATGGGCGCTGGGGAATGGGCGCTGGGGAATGGGTTCTGGGGAATGGGCGCTGGGGAATGGGCGCTGGGGAATGGGCGCTGGGGAATGGGCGCTGGGGAATGGGCGCTGGGGAATGGGCGCTGGGGAATGGGCGCTGGGGAATGGGCGCTGGGGAATGTTCTGAGCTGAGGTACCTCAAATGCAGCCCCTGCTGCATGGAGCTGCAGGGCCTCATAGCCGAAAAAACACGGTTGTGAGACGTCTCAAAAACACCCTCTCTACACGTGGTACCTCAAATGCAGCCCCTGTTGTATGGAGCTGCAGGGCCTCATAGCCAAAAAAACACGGTTGTGAGACGTCTAGAGACGCGGGCGAGTGAGTGCTGGACTGCTCTTACAGCCGCATGAACAATACGGTCTTAGGTGTCGCACCCCGGCTGGCTCCCTCCCCTTTCCGCCCCCCGCCCCAAGGAGCTCATTCGCCTCCCTAACTCTCCTCGTGGCCTACTCCGGCCACACGGTGTGGTGTGGTGCTCACACCACCATCGTTATCTGTTGCTCTCCGTTCACAGACTCCCGCCTTCCCATCCCTCTTTCCAACCCTAAACCCCGCCCCACCTCTACCTTTTCCGCAGCAAAATCGTATTCCCCTTCATCGCCTCCCTGCCTCTCCTCATGGCCTATTCCGGCCACACCACCATCGTCATCCCCAAGCCCCTTTATTGCTCCCCCTGTCACCGAATATAATGGTAAGTACATCATATTCTGGACATACGCTAATTGAGGTGTAGAAGTGCTGTAGCAATTGCTATTCAACCTATAGGGGAGGTAGTTGGGTGTTGGGAGAAGCGAAGGGTTGGTAGCATTGGGGGTTGCAGGGCGCTGCGGGTGCAATTCCAGGGACATTGGGAGACAGGAAATCTGGTGAGGGCCAATCCAAGGCCCAGGCGGCTCGGGCCCAACCCATCACGCAGAGAACTGTGCGACTGGGAAGCCAGGCACAAGTAGCCTAGCCTAGCAAAGCAATCTTGTTCTCTCGACTTGTTTGCCTAAAATAGTGGATTTACGTTGCCGTTCTAACGCTACAGCAGCTAGGTGACTAGGCCACTGAGGGCAGCCATTGTGTGGGAGTGCTAGTGCTGGAGAAGGAGAAGGGAGGACAGACCGTGGACCACCAGACCCGCACGGCAGGAATGAAGAGCAGCCGTCCTCAGCTGAGAGTCCTGTGACTCGCGCCCGAGCAGCTCGAGCACGAGCACAGGAGGGGGCAGGTAGTGGCTGAGAACGCAGAAGGGAACAAGGGAACAGGAGTGGGGACAGAGGTGGGGAAAGGCCAGAATAAGAAGGAAGGGAAGAAGGTGAGGACAGAAGGCAGGGAAGAGGCAAGGGCAAGAGACGAGTGAGTAAGGAGAGGGGAGTAACTCCGACACCCCGTCCCCACCTCCATCTTTTCCGCCTGGCCCCGCCCCACCTCCATCTCCCCCGCAGAAAAATCATATTCCCTGCCATCGCATCACAACCTCTCCTCATGGCCTACTCCGGCCACACCACCATTGTCATTCCCAAGCCGCTGCGGCCGCTGCTGGCTGGGCTGGCTTGGTCAGGGGGGGAGGCAGCAGGGTCAGGGGGGGAGGCAGCAATGTGGGACCTTGGCGTGCTGTACAGGGTGTGCCTGGTGGTTCTCGTGGTGTTCTGCACCAACTCCATCGATATCCTTGCTGGAATCAACGGGTTGGAGGCCGGGCAGACCGCTGTGATCGCCGCTGCGGTAAGTGTGGGTTTGAAACTCTTTCCAAGGCATGCATGCATGCATGCATGCATACACCTGGGCGTGCTTTACAAGGTGTATGTGCTAGTGGTTCTGCACCACCAATCTCATCAACATCCTTGGTGGGATCAACGGGCTGGAGGCCGGGCAGATCGCTGTGATTGCTGGTAAGACAGAGAAAGTGAAGGAGGGAGATGTTGAGGAAGACAAAGAGACAGGCAGATACAGAAAGAGCCAGAGAAAGAGAAAGGGCCAAAAAATGGGAGAGCGAGAAACAAACAGAGAGAAAGATAGAGAGAGGTGCTTTCTACCAGCTGTAAGAGCAGGAGGCGCTGTTGTGGTCCGTTTCCATCGTGCTTCTTTTTCCTTCATTGTCTCTCCCACAGCAAGTGTTGGCTGGGGCACGGAAGTAGGTGGAGCAGCTGACTAGTCAGTTGTCTGTTGCTACTACCCAGACTGAGGCGCTAAAGACAATTTGTGAGGCGCTTCAAGGGGCTTTGATTGAGTAAAAGCGGATAGCTGTCGCCGACATTGCTGCTGCTGTTGACAACGGACGTCTTTTGCGGGTGAGTGTTCTCCTGCTGCCTCGTTTCTTCTTCTTGTCCATTGCACCCCCACCACCCACAAAAACCACTTACATTTTGCACCGTTTCTTTTCTCTACCTCCTCCATTGTTTTCGATCGCTCTCTCCTCCCGTTTTAACCACCATAGCTTTGTTGCGCCACTGTTTCTTCTTAGGGAGAGTCACACGTGCTACGTGAGAGACAATGAGAGGGAGAGCACCCTGGAACAGGACACCGTCCGCTGCCCTCTCTCGGCTCTCTATGTGCGAGTCAACCCCTTCTACTCGCTTCCTCTGCTGCTGGAGCACCATGGAGTCTATCGGCCAGGGCAAGATTTCCGATGGTGCTGCTGCTGCTCCTTGTGCTCAATCAAAGCCCCTTTAATCGCCTCACAATTTGTCTTAAGCGCCTCAGTCTAGGTGGTAGTAACAGACAACTGACTTGTCAGCTGCTCCACCTCCTTTCGTGCCTCCGCCAACATTTGCTGTGGGAGAGACAATGGCAGAGAAGGAGCACAGTGTTGCTGGGTGTGGGATCTGGACGTGCTGTACAATGTGTATCTGGGCATCTTCCTTGTATTCTGCCCCAACTCCATAAACGTTCTCTCTCTGTCCTTTACTCTCCCTTACTCTCCTTTACTCTCCCTCTCCTCTCCCCTCCTTCCTTCCCTCTTCTCACTCTCACTGCCTCAGGTATTGCTGTTCAACATATAGCAAACATGCGAGCTGCCGGGCTTTAAGTTGCCACTGCAGCCGGACATGCAGCAGGCCCACCTCTTCTCCATCTACCTCATTCTGCCCTTGCTTGCCTGCACGCTCGCCCTGCTGGTCTTTAACTGGTACGTTGTGTTGTGGACGACACATTCACGTACTTGAGATTCCAACTGGTTCGTTGTGGATCAGTCATTGTAACGTCGGTCACAAAGGTTTTCGCTGACTCCTTGTCCTTAATCACCAGGTCTGCTCGCTTGGGGTTAACAATTTGCGAGAAGGCCGTGGTTTCATGTGCGGTCATGTAGTTAGCTTCGTTGGCCATCCGTTGTTGTGTGTGTTCATCCTGTCCTTCCCCTCTGCGCACCTTAGCAGATAGTTAGGGAGGCTTCGGTTACCTATCTTAGACCGTCTCTTATCGCACGGGCAGTTGTCCGTCACTGCTAGAGCCAGTCCCAGCCGAAAGCCCAGGGCCATCCCAAACTGCCCTGGGGAGAACGTGAGGTCTGCCCGTGTGGGGATGGCATGGAGCCAGTCCCCCGCTCCCACTCCCTGCAGGCTTATAAGTCGGACGACGTGGCCATTGTCTTCCCCTGGCTTGTCGATCCGCGTGTCGCCCACCAGCGCTGCTGCCCGGTCCAAGTTTATCTGCCTCAAGAGGTGTTCCTACAGGCGGCCTTTCCCCTCCCCGCCCTGTTCCGTTGCACTGAGTAACTCTCTTGCCGATTCTGGGAGTCTGTTCCTCAGGTCCTTGAAACTTGTTCCTCCTCCCGTGATTCCGTCCCCGTGTGGTGACAGCAGTGCCGCCACGCGATGCAGCGGGTGGCTTGGCGTTGCTGACACGTGCTGCAGTAGAGTCTGTGCGGCCTTCAGCGAGGCCAGGTATGCCGCTGGTGCTTCTGAGAGGGGGTCTATGATTCCCAGGCCCCCCAGCGCGATTGGCAGCGTCGCTTGCCTCCACACCAGGCTTTGCTCCAGCTCCTTGCTCGGCGTGTGCAGGTGGGCCTGCGGGGGAGTGCGTCTGGCGGTGTCGTACGCAGGAGGTACGATATCCTGCACGAGATGCATCGCGAGAGGAGTAGCAGTGCGTGCTGCGGGTGAAGTTTCCTGATGAGCCCCAACGGTGCTGCTGTTGACTCAAGTGTACCCCTGATGGTGCGCGGGCAGAATGATTTCGTGCCGATTGGGCTCCCCAGCACCCGTACTCCGTCCACCGCTGTTGCTAGGCCGTCGGGTAGTCGCCCTGTGTCCCCTGAGGGGCTCCATGCGGACGATTCAGCGAGGTTGCACCGTAGGCCGCAGCCGCCCAGTTCGTCTCGTATCTTGTTTAGTGCCCTGATTGCATGTGCTGGGTCGCCTATGATCGTGATGTCATCCGCGTACGCCATCACGGTCACCGTTGGGACTGCCTCTGCCGCCGCTAGTAGCACAGGTTGGATGGCCGCCGCAAATAGCATTGGTCCTAGCGGGTCACCCTGCCGCACCCCCCGCGCACTGTTAATGTGGGGCGCTTCGAACCTGCTGTCTAGTAGGAGTTTGGATACCGCGCCATAGAGTGTGAGGGCCAGCAGCATGAGCGATGTCAGGCCAGTCCATCGCAGCGTCGAGAGGAAGCGGCCGCGTTCCACGGAGTTGAACGCGTTTTCAATATCTAGCTGCAGGACTACCCTCGTGGATTCTTCCGCTAGGAGTGCCCTTGTCGTATGTATAACGCATTCTGCTCCTCCTGGCACCGCTACTCCAGATTGTATAGGTAGGAAGTACTCCCGGATTTCCCCCGCCAGCTCCTTTAGCGCTGCTTTGGCCGTCAATCTGAGCAGAGCCTCCCCTATCGCGATTGGTCGGACGCCTCCGTCCGGTTAATCCAGGGCGATTAGCCTGGATGGGAGCAGCAGCTCCTGTACTGCCTCGTTTTGGTAGGTGCTTAGAAGCTGATTAACGACCTTGTGTAGGAGAGCGAAAACCTCCCAGTTGGTTGAGGCAGGATCGCGTAAGTGCTCGAAACACATCCCTGATGGTCCCGCTCCTATCCCGTTTGGGCATTTCGCCAATACTTCGCGAAATGCCTCGGCACTGATGGCGAGCTCGGATGTTGTGTAACCCGTGAGACCCTCCGGTGTCGCCAACTCTGGGCTTGGGTGTTTGGAGCAGAGCGCTTCTACGGTGGTTTGCGACAGCTCAGCTAGGGGAGAGGTGTGTAACGCTACCGCTGGTTTCGCCAGGTTGGCTTTCCGAACCAGCCCCTCTGCTCTGGCGCAGATCCCTTCCGGGTCTGGCTCATGCCTGTCAGGTTTGGAGTTTGGGGGGAATGTGCTGGCCTGGATGTACAGTGCGTCCCACTTTTCTTCTCGAAATTGTCGAAGCCGATCCTCTACTACTTGCCATCTGTTTCCGGGTGTCGTCTCCATGCCCACTCGCAATGTAAGTCTGGGGAGGAATTGTAAAATTCGCCACGCGCCCAGGCTGTTCGGGTGCTTCGAGAGTCGCAGGAGTGGTACGGTAATGCAGAGGCTGAACACCTTTAGGATTTCCGGCGGGAGCTTCCGTACCAGGAATGGCTGTGCGCTGGCACGGAGTGGTCCCACCTTTTGCCACGCGTCCTCGTCCTTTGCGAATTTCAAGGGGTGCCCGCTCCTTGCTGGCAGCCTCGTTTGCCACCTGGGCCTCTGATTCGCCCACCTGTGCGTTTGCCTCCCTTGTGTCCCGTCCTTGTCTGTGTCCACGTCGCCGACCTCCTTCCTCGTTTTTGGGAACCCCATCCTCCGCCTCGACCGAGATCTCCTCTGACTCTGCCTCTTGTTCCTCCATATATTCTGACCCCTCCTCCTCTGCCGGTTCATTCATTGGTTCATCTTCAGTTTGTTCTGGCCTCTCGTGTCTTTCCCGCCAGTTCCCAGATCTGGCCTTCTCCCGTGCTACTGCTCTCGCCAGCTCACCCACGCGCCCGTCCCTGCCCCGGCCTCGCCCCCGGCCTCTTGTGGCCGCTCTTGTCGCCGCGTTTCGCGGCTGTTGGCCCGCGGCTTGTTCGTCCGCTCTCTCTTGCAGCGCCCTCTGCCGGCTTGTTCCTGCCCTCCTCCGTCGTTTTGCAGTGCTGGCCGCCAACACCGCTTCTTCCTCCTGGGCCACGTCCTCCGCCTCCTCTGCTGCTCGTCTCTCTCCTACCGCCTCCTCCTGTGCCTCCCGGTGCTGGTGTGATGACGGGCAAGCGTTCGCGGCGGGAGTGCGTGGTGGGGTATCCTGCTGTTCCCAATCCGCCAGAGGCCCAGGGCGGGCTGGCGCCAGTCCTACTCGAGCACAAGGGGGCCGGGACCCCCTCTCGTCCTCGTGAGCCAGTGTACCGATCGCCCCGCGGGCGGACTCATCCGCATCTGAGGGCCCGTCGTGGTTCCTTTCGTCCTTGCCGGCCTCCCCGCCCGCCGCCTGCTCTTCAGCGACAGATTGTGGGGCCGCATCTCCAGCCGCGCTCTCCTCTGGTGTCTCAACCACATCCTCCACTGCCTCGACCCACGCTGTCTCAGCACTCCTCTCAGCAGCAGTCGTCCGGGCCTGCTGCATCGTCCCTTCCGCTGGCTCAGCCCCCGCCGCCGTCCGATCCGCCGCTGTCGGCGTCGACCTCTCACCCGCCTCCTCCTCCGCTGTCCCCGCCGACGTTGTCCTCGGATGGGGCAGCTCTCGTGCCCCCCCTACCCGATCCGTCGCTTGTTGCTGCCGATCCCCCTTCTGAGCTTCCACAGCGGCAGCACCCCCTCGTTCCCCACGATCCCGCCCCTGTCGCTCGTTTCCCTCTGCCCCGAGCGCTGTCTCCTGAGCTTCTGCCCGACGCCCCTCATCCTGAGGACGACGAGAAGTGGTGGAACGGTGAGCTGTGGGAATCTCCTCCTCAGTCCGGGACGACGTGGGGTCGGGATTGGGAGATTCGGTCCGACTTCGTCCTTGATGTCCTCTGTTGGGAGCATCGCATGATTGGCGTTGGCGAGTGCCTCTCCCACGTGGCGACAGCGCTGGAGCAGCTGCATGCTGGTCTGGAGTCGCGGAACGTCGTGCTGCGGGATCCCCAGCTGACCGAGGAGCAGCAGGGTGTTGTACGTGCGGCTGCGGCGCAGGGCTTGTGGCGGCTGCTCCGCTTGCCCCTTGAGTTCGAGCACCCTGACGAGAACGAGGGGCTGAGCGCGAGGGCTTTCCGCAGGGTCGCCACGGCTGCCGAAGAGGAGCCCCTGCAGCTTGTGCCTGCGCTCGCGTCCTTGCTCCGCCGGATCCCCCGGCGTTTTTACGTGTTGAACCACGTTTAGTGTCCTCCCCCTTCTGGGCCTTGCCATGTGCCTTTTTGTTCCCCATCTTCTCCCGATCCTACTTACCTTGCCCTCTGTTTTTGGGCGTAGCTACTACTGCATGTTGTATGTACTGCTAGTGATGATTGTTGCTTTCTCCTTGCCACTCCTCAAGCACAGCCTTCGGCAGATTTTTGCAGTGAGAATGAACTCACCACCAAACAATGAGGAGGAGAATGGGTTCCTTGCCCTTATATACTAGGGAACTAGGCAGAAATGGCTAAGAACTAGGCTAGGCTAAGGACCTAGGCTAAAAATGGCTAAGGACTAGGACCTAAGGGTCTCTCTCTCTCTCTCTCTCTCTCTCTCTCTCTCTCTCTCTCTCTCTCTCTCTCTCTCTCTCTCTCTCTCTCTCTCTCTCTCTCTCTCTCTCTCTCGAACTCTCTCTCTCGAATGGTCCTTCGTATTAATATCGTCAAGGAACAGACATGGGTGCTAAGCTAGTCTAAACAATCACATGGTAAACAAGCAAACCAACAACCAAACACACAACGGAACCGCTACACATCCCTCCTCTACCCCTCCCTCCCCACGGCCCTACTGGCCTGTGGGGTCTTCCAGCAGCTGGTACAGCTGCTCCTCCCCCAGGCTGCCGAACGGGCCCTGCAGGCCGAGCTCATCCGCGGCAATGGCCTCGTGGGTCTTGTCGCGGAGGGCGTTGGCCTGGGCGCGCTGGAGTGTCACACTCCAGCGCTGCCGGTACTCCGTGAGGAGCCTGGCCACCTCCCTTGATTTCGGCGAGGCGTTGAATCGCCGTTTGCCCGCGAGCTCGGCGCAGCTGCGAAGGAAGGCGTGCACTGCCGGGGAGGGGTAGCCGTACGTCTCGACTGCCATGGCATGAAAGCCTACCCACGCGTTCCGCCGCGCGTACTTGTCCTCCTTCTTGGCTGCTTGCATTCTTGCAGCCCACCCTGGCGCCTTCCGCGCAAGCTCATCCTGGTGGGAGACCGGGTCCGTGACGGTGATGTCGCACATGTGAACCTCGCCGGTGTCGGGATGGCGGATGCAAACATCCGCTTTGAGGTTTTCAACCGGCGAGTATACAGTATACTCCTTGTGCACCGTGTAGCCTGCCTCTGCTGCGATCTTTGCACACTCATCACGAAGGGCGTGGTGAGTGGCAATCCTCCCCCCGCCCTTCTCGCAATGCATGAGGTGGTTGGGAAGGCGGTGGTCATGGAAGGTCGTGCGGTAGCGGCAGTCGCAGCGCCGTGGGACGGGAAGGGGGAGGCCTAGGCGGAAGGAGGACGCGGTGGAGTGCTGCGACGGGCCTAACCGAAGGGCCGGGATCAGCGGGATGGCTAGCAGCCAATCTCCTGCCCCAGGGCCGAGGAGAGACTCCAGGCGTTGTGTATGGCCGAAGAGCGGGTTCAGGGGCATCTCCCGCGAGGCATCGAGCAGCTCGATGTAACGAGCGGTGTGGACGGCCAGCGACAAGGCCTGCTGTAGCTTCGGTCCCTCAGGGTCGCGCCGGTCGATCTGCAGAGCTTCAAGATCGTCCGGCGGCAGCTCAGCTTCAGCTGCAGCAAGGCGCCTTGGCAGGACCGAGGGTGAGTCTGCGGCCGCGTCCATCAGCGGCAGCATAAGGGCGATGGCGGGGTGCACCGTGTCGCCGAACGAGTGCAGCAGGTGAGCAGAGGAAATGACCGAGGCCAGGTATGCGAACGCCCCTTCCGTTGCTGGGTTGGTGATGCCAAGGCCGCCCAGTGTCACGGGCAGGGCTGCTTGCCGCCAGATTCTCACCCGCTCCGCCTCCTCTCTGGGTATCGCCGTGTGTGCAGCTGACAGGTAAGTGTGCAGCAGCTGTTCCCCCCACGCCGACCATGTTTCCTCTGGCAGCGTTGTTCTAACGAGGTAGGAGGCACGGCGGCTCACGCACCGAGTGAGGAGTAGCAGGCACAGCTGCGGGTCCATTTGTGAAAGGAGCTGTAGCGGCTCTGCTGCTGCTGACAGGCGCTCCTGTACCATCGCCGCGCATCCTGGCTGCGGTCCGATTGGGCTCCCCAGGACGCGGATCCCGTCAGCCGAGAAAGGGACGTGCTGGGGCAGAGAGGCGAGGTCGACGTGGGCAGCCGACCACGCCGCGCACTTTTCGGGGTTGTGCTCCAGGCCCAGGGAGAGCAGGGCACTGGTGAGGTGGGTGAATGCCCGTGTGCACGCCGCTGCTTCCCCCAAGAGCGTAATGTCGTCCGCGTATGCAAGGATGACGACTTCTGGGTGCGCCTCCGCCGCTGCTACCAGGCAGGGGTGAATGCTGGCGGCGAAGAGGAGGGGTCCCAGCGGATCCCCTTGGCGAACGCCGCACGCGGACTGCAGGGGGGGGGTGTGAAACGCGTGGTCGAGGTGTAGTGCCGAGGGGGCACCATAGCTCAGCCGCACCAGGGGCACCATGATCTCCAGGGTGGTCCCCTTGAGGCCTTCGAACACCGCCGCTCGCTCGACCGTGTTAAAGGCGTTCGCAAGGTCGATTTGCAGCGCCACCGCCCCTGTATTCTCCTCCAGGTAGGTTCTGGCGGTGTGCACTGCCGCTTCGATGCCTCCCGCTATCGCCACGCCGAATTGGAGCGGCGCGAAGTGTTCACGTGCTTTCTCGGCCGCCAAGAATAAAGCCGCTTTGGCGACTAGACGTAGCAGGCATTCGCCCACCGCGATCGGCCGTGTACCCCCATGTGGCTTGGCGAACGCAAGTAAGCGTGAAGCTGTGAGGAGTTCTGCTGCCTCAGAGCTAAGTTTCCCAGCCAGCGCAGTGTTAGTAAGTGCATGCAACTGTAGGAAGATGTCTGTGTTTCCTAGGGCAGCGTCCCTCAGGTGTTCAAAGGTGGTGCCTGAGGGGCCAGCGCCCACTCCGTTCGGGCACTTGGCGAGGATGCGTCTGAAGTCGCGGGGATGGATTGATGGGGAGGTGTCTGTGGTGAACTCCCGTACCCAGTCAGGGATGGCTTGGCACGCAGGGGGGTGTCTAGCTGAGAGAGCTTGGAGCACGTCCGTGGATGGGGGGGAGACTGGCGTGGCTGTGAGGGATTGGAGTGATTTTGCAAGGTTCCCTCGTTTGGCCAATCCCTCAGCCCTAGCCAGGATTCCTGTGGTGTCAGGCGCATGGCGGGGCTGGGGCGGTTGGGATACTGCGTCCGCCGCCTCGTCATACAGGTTCCGCCAGAGGCCCTGGCGGAACTGGATTAGCCTGGCGCCCACCGTCGACCAATCTGGGCGCTTGGCTGACGAGGTGCGCAGAAGGATGCGCGGGAGGAACATAAGTAACCTCCATCCCGCAGGTGAGTCAGGGTCCTGGGCGAGGTGTAGCAGTGGGGTGAGGAGGCAGGCAGCGAAAGAGTCGCGAAGTGTGCGAGGTGGGTGACGGGCGAGCGGTGGTTGCCTGCTGTCGCGAAAGGGGTTGAGGTCCCAAGTTGCGACGTCGGCGAAAAGGTCCTGGCGTTTTGCCAGGTCGCCAGCACTGAACATTGGCTGGCGGGTGGGTGCAACTGCGCCTTGCTGATTGGCTCGGGATGGGGTGCCATCTGCAATTTGTGCGGCTCGGTTTCCCCCTGCGACTTGATTCTGCCTCCCAATTCGAATTGCAGATGCGCCTCGGCTATGTGTTGGGTTTCGATCCAACTCCTCGTGTTGCTCTGCCTCGTCCACCTGGGGAGAGGGACTAGAACTCCCCTCTCTTTCAGGGTTAAAAAGTGGGTCACCCACGTTGTTTTCATCGCTCGACTCTTCCCCATCTCCAGCTCTCCCCCGCAGGATCCGGTGAGCGGCCCTCGCGAAGCTACTAGCCCCCCGTCGTTGAACTGTGACGCCTCCTCTGCTTCCGCCTCGTCTCCCACCTCTAGCCACGCGGATACCTCGCGGCGTCGTGCCTGCTGCTGCGTCGCGGCGTGCTTGCTGAGGCACGGAGGTAGAACCACGGCCCCTTCTTTGGCGGCCCGCTGCTGCTGGCGTCCGTGGCTCCGTGCTCCGGCGTAATGGACCCAACCGCGGGTCGCGATCGCGCGCAAGAGAGTACCGCGGAGAGCGCCCGGCTTGACCCGCCCCGAGCTCAGGGGCCTGCTGCTCCTCGTCCTCACGCTGCTGCGCGCCCCTCCGCGTCTGAGCCTGTCCCCCGCCTAGAGCACGTGCTCTCTCTTCCTCTTCGACGTTTTCCTCAGCCCCATTCGCCGGAGTACTCGTGGGTCCCTGCTCAGAATGCATCGAGTCGACCTGCCGGTCAGCCGCGTCAGGAGCGTGGGCGTTCGCCGCCCCGTCAGCAGCCGCGTCAGCAATCTCCCCACCGACGCTCCCCAGAGCGTCGCGAAGATCACCGGGACGGCGCTGGCGATCAGCTATCTCCTGCAGGCCATCGGTCTGCTCTCCACCAATCCCCTCGTGGTCGGGCAGGCCAGTGCTCACCCCGAGCGCGATCCCCCGCGCAACGGTCTCCGCGGCGATCTCCGGCGACGCGGGGGAGGGGGTCGTCTGGGCGTCGCTGGGATTCGGGTCGCCGCGAGCAATCCCCTCCGCGTCCGCACTCGGCTGGTTCCGGAGGCCATCGTGGCCGGCGGAATGGCGGTGGGCGTGGTGGTAATGGTCGCGGGCAGGATCCTGCCCTCGATCGTGCCACGAATGCCTTTGCGGAAGTGGTGCGGCAGGCGCGCGCGAGTGGGGAGCCGACTCACGTGTACATTACCGTGACCAACGGTCCTCCCTTCGCCGCGGACCCTGGCCAGGTGGCTCCTCTGCGCGCTCCGACGCTGCGCGAATATCTGCCCGCGCGAGAGGGGAGGGCTCAGTTTCGCCCCTACCGTCAGGTCTCGGGCTTCTCCGCGCAGCGCTTCTCTGTTGGCCGGACTCTTGGCTGGCCGACGGCGTTTCCGCACGAGGCTCCGACTGCACCTCCCCCCACTCACTCGGGGAGAGACCCCATGCTGACCATGAGCCGGATTTTGAATCTGGCGGAGGCGTGCGAGGTGGTGGCGAACCTGCAGCTGGCAGTGTGTGGGGCCACGCGGAACTTTCCGAGCAGTTACGGTCCAGGGTCCCTAAGATCCTGCGTGACTTTGGCAGAATCGCTCGATTCGCCGTTGGCACCCGTGTCGGAAGCGCCCGCCGGGGTAGCGCCCTTAGCTCGTACCTTCCCCCGCCACGTGGGGGATCTTGTTGGGGCTGCTCAAGGCGGGACCCCAGTGGACACGCTTCGGTCGTCGGCGCATCTCCTTCTTGCGATGTCGGCGTGCATGCGCTCCATGCTTGAGGTGGAGGGGGCGGAGCCGTACACGATGTAGGCTTCCGCTGCGTGTAGTACTGCATCCCCGTAGGAAATGTTGTCGCCCGTCACCCTTGCTACTTTTGCCGTGTCTGCTCTCTCTATAAGCCGTCCCTTTGTTTGCTGTCTTGCCACCAGGAGCGCGCGGCCGAAGGCCGTGCTTGCGAGCGGCGGCGGCCGAAGGCCGCCGGCGTGAGTTGCCGAAAACGAACACACGAAATAATGAATGAACCTGAGAGCCAGCACCCTTAAATAGGCAAGGAAGGATGAGGGGAGAGGGGAGAGGCTGAGGGAAGAAGGCTAAGGACTCCCTTCTCTCAAATGGTCCTTTGTATTAATTCAGCAGGGGGTACAGACATGCAATTTGACTCGTGGTTCCCTTATACCTTCCGACCCATCAACCCATCCCTCTGACCCTCCCCCCCCCCCCCCCTTAGTGCCCCTCTAACCCTCCAGCGTGTGGAGGATGTCCCCTAGGTGCAGCGGCCATGGGTCCGCTGCCATCTGGGGGTGCGCTGCCTCAATCCCCGCCCTGGCCTTGGTGTGCAGGGCATTTGCCTGGGAGCGCTGGAGGGCCACTGACCAGCGCTGGCTGAAGTGGCAGGCCATCTTCTTGGCCGATTTCGCCAGGGGGTTGGCCCTGAACCGGTTCCTAGCTGCTGCTGTGGCCAGCAGCTTCAGGAACGCCGTCGTGGGGGGCGCGTTTGCCCCATAGGTCTCGACGGCCAGGGCGCAGAACACCACGTGTTCTGTGTGCCGGTAGTAATCCCTTTCCTTCCGCTTCTGAGCCTCCCTTGCAGCCCAGCCTGGGGGTTTGCGGGCTGTGGGGTCCCGGTTCTATAGCACAGGGTCGGTGATAGTCGTGTCTGTGATCCAGGTCTCTCCACTGTCTGGGTCACGCACGATCACATCGGCCTTCTTCGGGTCATCCGGTGGTGAGTACATTGCATTCTCCAGGTATACCACCAGCTACGCCTCCCTCGCCATTTTTGCCACGGCAAAGGCCAGCTGATTGTGTGTGCGCGTTCTGTCCGGGCCTGTGCTGCAGCGGAGTAGGTGGTTGGGTAGGCTGCAGTCGGCCACGAGCTCTCCACACTCGCACACAGTAGGTACGTTCTGTCGGATGCCCATGCGGAAGGCCAGGGCTGTTCGGAATTGCCCTGGTAAGAAGCAGAGGTCTGGGGTCAGGGGTAGGGCTTGCAGCCATGCTCCCGCTCCCTCGCCTCTCAGGGTGACGAGGCGGAGCGTGTGGCCCATCTCGGGGGCTGACCTGATTGAGCGTGATTCCTCTGTCAGGGTGTCGGCCTTTGCCGCGTGCACTTCCTGAGAGAGGGCCCGCTGCAGCTGGTCTTGGGACGGGGTTTCTTGCTCCTCACGGAGGTATTGCAGCGCCAGCGGCGGCAGTCGTCCCTCCATGTCTTGGATGGTGACCGAGTGTGCCGCAGACGGCTGCAGGGCGTTGCTGTTGCTCCCTAGCGCCGCGGTTGCTGGCAGGTCGAGTGAGCGGAGCAGGCGTAGTGCCTCTATCGTTGAGGCCAGGTAGGCCGGTGCTGCTTCTGTTGTGGGATCCGTGAGGCCCAGTCCACCTAGGGCCACTGGGAGGGTTGCTTGGCGGATGAGAAAATTGAACTCGGCTTCGCGGCGGGGTGGTTGGATGCCGGCGGCAGTCAGGGCGGTGTTGAGCAGTTCGGCGCACCACGCGTGCCATTCCGAGAGGGGAAGGACATCCGCTGGGGTGGTGCGCAGCAAGTAGCCGATTCTGCGGCTGATGCAGCGGGACAGGAGCAGGAGGGCATGCTGTGGATGGATGGATGCTAGGGAGACCAGGGGTGCCGCCGCGTCTGTCAGAGTACTGCGGACCAGGTCAGCGCAGAAGCGCTGTGACCCCACGGGACTTCCCAACACCCGTACCCCCTCGTGGGTGAGTGGGAGGCCCTCGGGGAGCTCGTCACCCTCAAGCGGCGTCGTGGACCACGCCGAGGATTTTCTGAGGTTGCAGGTGAGGCCATCCTGGGCGAGCAGCGGCTTCAGCAACTTAAGCGCGCCGAGCGTTGCTGTCGCCGGTCCGATCATGGTGATGTCATCTGCGTATGCTAGGATCGTGACTTCTGGGTGCTCTGCTGCTGTGCGTCTGAGGTGCTGCTGGATTGATGCCGCGAACAGCAGGGGTCCGGGGTCCCCCTGCCTCACCCCCCTTCCGCTGGTAAGTGCCGTCGTGCTCAAGCGGGGATCGGTCAGCAGCTGAGAAGGCGTTGCGTAGAAGGAGCGGGTGAAAGGTATGAGCGGTGCTAGCGGGGTGTTGGCGAGTGCGTTGAAGAACGCTTTCCTCTCTACGGAGTTGAAAGCGTTTTCAATGTCGAGTTGGAGGACTAGGCTGGAAGGTTGTGAAGTGGTGAGGTCTCTGACTGCATGTATAACGAACTCAGCTCCGCCTGGGACTGCCACACCGAATTGTTGGGGTAAGAAAAATCGCCTTGTTTCTCCTTGCAGTTCCGAGAGTGCCACCTTTGCTGCCAACCGGAGTAGGGATTCCCCTATTGCGATAGGGCGTACCCCCCCCCCCCTGGTTTCGCAAAGGCGATGAGGCGGGATGGCGAGAGTAGTGCTGCAACCTCGGTGGAAAGATTCGTGGAGAGAAGATGTGTTACGGCGGAGTGTAGGTGCCCCAGCACTTCGATGTTGCTTAGGGCTGGGTCGCGGTAGTGTTCAAATGTTGACCCGGATGGACCAGCCCCAACTCCGTTGGGGCAATCCCCAAGGACGTCTGAGAAACTTTCCGCGGTGCACGAAAATTGCGTGGGTGTTGTGTAGGTGTGGACCCAGTCAGGCAGCTCAACTTGGGGTTGGGGATGTTTCAATTCCAACTGCTGCAATGTTGCGATCGTCGCAGGGGCCGCTGGCGAGGGTGAAAGGGCTGCCAACGCTTTTCGCAAGTTACCCCGTTTCACCAACCCCTCCACACGTGAGCAGATTCCCAGGGGGTCGTTTTGGTGCTGAGGTGGCTCAGCTTGGTGCAGGGACCCCACGTAGTCACTGTAGAGCTGGTTCCAGTGGCCACATCTGAATAGGTGCATTTGCTCTCGCAGCACCTTCCACTTAGAGCTGGACCTCTTGCTAAGTCGTAAGGTGAGACGTGGCAGGAACATGAGGACCCGCCACGCTCCCGCGCAGTTTGGCAGTTTGGAGATCCGTAAGAGGGCAGCCAGCATACAGGTGGAGTAGTCGCTTAGTATCTGCGGCGGCAGGCGGCGGACGATAGGCAGGTGGGTGGTTGACGTTAGGGTTGAAGAGTCCCAGCTCATCGCGATCTCAAAGAGATCCTCCCTCGATGCCAGCTGGGACGCTGACAGGGCTTGGTCCGGAGGGGGTTGGGGTCTGCGGTTCTGTCGGCGTCTAGAACCTCGCGGATTCCCCCTCGCCACTTGGCCTGCACTCCGCTGTCCTCCGCGCGCTCCTCGACCCCCGCCTCTCCCCCGCGTGCTTCCCCGTCCGCTCCTCGGAGTGGCTGCCACAGGTGCCGCCTGTTGCGCCTGGGAGATCGGCGTCGTCGGCTCCTCTTGTGGCAGTGGAGCGCCCTGAGCGCTCGCCGATGGATTTCCTCGGCGCTCTGGGCCGCGACTGCACCGCGGAGAGCGATCCCGCTCCCCGTCCGCTTCCTCCTGCACGCCCTGCCGCGAGCGTACCTGTTGCTCCACCGGCGTCCGCTGATCAGATCCGCCGCCGCTTCGAGGACCAGCAGCGCGAGCTGGCTCGGCGCGCGGGCAGGTCCTTGTCACCGCCGGAGCCCCTGCGCGCGGGGTCCGTCTTGCGCTCCGGCGCAGAGGCTGTGGCGCCAAAATTTTCAGCACTAACTGAAAGAATGAGATATGGAGAGGCCGCCGTGGCCTTAAGTAGTCATGGCAGAGGGCAGAAAGCAGAGGGCAGAGGGTAGAAGGGGAGAGGCTAATCCTCTCTCTCTCTCTCTCTCTCTCTCTCTCTCTCTCTCTCTCTCTCTCTCTCTCTCTCTCTCTCTCTCGAATGGCCCTTTCATTGATTATCATAGGACTTACAGGCATGCAAGGTGGTAGCTTTTGTGAGTCTGGTGCATAAAGCCTCTTACCACTCTTCTACCATTCCCCCCCCCCCCCCCCCTTCCTAAGCTAGGTCCAGCGCAGGATCAATGACCGAGAGGCAGTCCCCTAGGGACGGAGCCTCACCCACTGCCTCCAGCAGTGGGTATTCTACTGCAGCCGCTATGCTGCACTTTTCTAAGTATCCAATCGACTGCCCCCTTTGTAGAGCCACCGACCACCGCTGCCGATAGTGGTGTAAGAGCTTGGCAGCTTGGTAGGAGGTTGGCTCGGCGTTAAAGAACCGCCTTGCAGCCGTCTCCGCGAGCAGCTTCAGGAAATCCACTGTCTCAGGGCATGGGCACCCATAAGTCTCGACCGCAAGCGGGAAAAACTTCACCCACTCAGGGCGGTCCCTGTAGAGGCCGTGCTTCTTATCTGTCGCCTCCCGTGCTGCCCACCCCCGCCCCTTAGTTGCATTCTTGTCGCGGGTGCTGATGGGATCCGTCACCGTCACATCACAGATGTAGACGGCGCCATTGGAGCGGCAGCGGAGGGCCAGATCAGCCTTCTTCTCTTCCACTGGGCTGAAAGCGGCCGTTTCAATGTGCACCATGAAGCCTGCGTCGCGCGCCATTCGCGCGCATTCATCTCTTAGCTCATTATGCGTGTTTGTGCGCCCTCCCCCTGTCCCACATCGTAGCAGGTGGTTTGGGAGCCGCTTGTCTGGGATTTGCACCTTCTTCGAGCAATTGCAGACCCCGGGAGCCGCAAAGGGGAGGCCCAGCCGAAACTGGAGCGCATTGGCGTAGTGCGGAGCCTCGAGGTGTAGCGCGCGGTGCAGAGGCACCGCGTTTAACCAATCCCCTGCGCCATACCCCGACAGGGACATCATCCGCTGCGTGTGACCATTTTTCGGGTTCGGGCTCATCCCCCTCACCTCCTCCACTTGGACAGCATAGCGCTGGCCCTGGATAGCCGTGGCCAGCCCGTGCTGCAGCTTCCCTGCGGTTGGGGCTGTTCTCTCTGCTTGCAGGGCTTCCTGAGCTGGCAGTGGGAGCTCCTCCTCGCATTTCGCTAGCCATTCGGTCAGGGGGGAGGCCTGAGTGTAGGGACCGCGCATCACCTCGCGTGTTGCTTCCAGTGGGCCGGTGCATTCGTCCTCCAGGGAGTCCAGCAGGAGATGAGCCTGCGTGTAGCTGGCGAGGAAGCTGTAGCTTCCTTCCACGGACGGGTCCGTCAGTCCGAGGCCACCGAGCGATACGGGGAGGGAGGCCTGCGCCCATGTGCGTGATATTTCCTCCTCCCCCCGTGGGTGGTTAATGTCGCATGCCGTGAGCAGGGTATCCAACAGACGCCTCCCCCATTCGGACCACTCCCCTTGGGGCAGGGCCGGAAGGGGAGTCGTGCGGGCCAAGTAAGACACTCGGCGCGAGACGCACCGAGACAGCAGCAGACCCGCCAGCTGAGGCTCCATCCGCTCTATCAATCCCAGCGGCGCACCCATCGCTTCCAGGCTGGATCGTATGAAGGCGGATGTTGCTGTTGGGGTGCCGATGAAACTGCCCAGCACTTTCAACCCATCGCCGCTGAGTGGAACCCCTTCGGGCAGGGTGTAGTCCGCGGGCGACCCATCGGACCAGGCCCCGCACTTGGCGGGGTTGTGTCTGAGGCCGATTTCTGCAAGAAGGCCCGTGAAATGATCAAAAGCAGCCGCACATGACGACGGATCCCCTAAGAAGGTAACGTCATCCGCGTAAGCAAGACAGATCACATCCGGATGTGCCTCCGCCGCCGCCTTCAGAGCCGGTTGCATGGCCGCGGCAAAAAGAAGGGGGCCGAGGGGGTCCCCTTGGCGGACTCCGGTCTCGCTGAGCAAGGGCGCGTGGTTAAAGGCTGCGTCCAGGTGCAGTGCAGACGTCTGGCCGTAAGAGAAAATCACCAAAGGCAGTAGCGGCTCCAGCTGCGAGCCTTTCAGCGCTGTCGCTATGGCGAGGCGGTCGACGCTGTTGAAAGCGTTAGCTAGATCCGCCTGCAAGACTAGCGCCTCCGGATTGGCCGAGGTGAAGGTTCGAACGATGTGGATCACTGCCTCTGCTCCTCCCGGCACGGCAACCCCAAACTGTAATGGTAAGAAAAATTCTCTGGCCGCTTCTGCTAGCTGAGTAAGTGCTGCTTTGGCTGCCAGTCGTAGGATCCGAGCAAGCGGTCCGTGTATTAGATCCGAGCAAGGTACAGACATGCACAAGGATATAAGAAGCAATGCACCTCAGCTTCTAAAACCCTCATATCCTACCCACTCTCGTTCTCCCTCTAAGGCAGCTCCAGTGCAGGCTCCAGGATGGCAAAGCAGTCCCCAAGGGACATGCCTTCGCCCGGCAGCACCACAGGTGGGTTCTCCACCTGAGCAGCAAAGTTGCACTTCGTCATGAAGCTCACTGACTGTGCACGCTGCAGTGCCACGGACCACCGCTGGCGAAACTGATGCAGCAGCTTTGTTGCCTGGTAAGACGAGGGGGTCGCGTTGAAGAGCCTGCGGGCGGCGGTGTCGGCAAGAAGTTTGAGGAATTGAGGGACCTCCGCGCACGGGCAGCCATGGGTATCAACTGCAAGCGGGAAGAATCCGACCCACGAGGCCGTTGAGCCCTCGTAGTCGTAGATTTTCTTCTCAGCCGCCTCCCTGGCTGCCCACCCCCTGCCCTTGACCGCGTTGGGGTCCCGTGTGCTAATAGGGTCCGTGATGGCCACGTCCCGTATCCACACCGCGCCTGAGGACTTGTCCCGGATTGCAATGTCAGCCTTCTTCAAAGTGACGGGGCAGAACGCAGTCGTCTCGCTGTGAGTCATGAAGTCGGCGTCGGCGGCCATGTGCACGCACGCATCGCGCAGCTCATTGTGCGTGTCGGTCCGCCCCTTCCCTGTGTCGCAGCGCAGCAGGTGGTTGGGCAGCCGCCTGTCAAGGATTGCCGTCTCATTGCGGCAGTCACACGCACCAGGTGCCGAGGAGGGTAACCCCATCCGGAACTGCAGCGCATGCGCAAAGTGAGCCGGGGCAAGGCGTAGTGTCGAGTTGAAGGGAACCGCGTCGAGCCAATCTCCTGCCCCATACCCTGGAGAGTGAAAGCATGCGCTGCGTGTGCCCGCTTAGTGGGTTGAGTGGCATGATGCGTGTAGCCTGCACCTGCTCCGCGTAGCGCAGTTCGTGTACCGCGATTGCCAGCCCATGCTGCAGCTTGACGCCCTCGGGATCGGCTCGGTCACTCTGCAGCAACTCCTTCCCATCGTCCAGCAGCGACTCCTCGCACCTCTCCAACCAGTCAAACAGGGGGGACGTGTTCACGAAGGGTCCCTTCATCTGGATCCGTATTTCCGCCAAGGCGCCGAGAGCCGGCTCGTCAATTGAGGTGAGCAGGTGCTGCGCTTGGGTCCAGCTTGCAAGGAACCCAACGCGTCCTTCCACCGAGGGGTCTGCGAGACCCAAACCTCCAAGCGAGATCGGCAGCGAGGCTTGAGCCCAGGTGCGTGTAATCTCGGCTTCTCCCCTTGGGTGACGGATGCCGCAGGCCGTCAGCAACGTCTCAAACAGTCTTTTCCCCCAGTCTGACCACTCCTCGACTGGCAGGGCAGAGAGGGGCGTGGTACGGGCAACGTAGGAGACCTGCCGCAGTAAAGACGCCAGCTGCGGCTCCATGCGCGCGATTAAAGGTAGGGGCCCGCCCATGGTGTTTAGGCTGTCACGTAGGAACGCCGCCGTTGCGTCGACGCCACCAATGAAGCTGCCAAACATCTTCACCCCGTCGTCAGTGAAAGGTACGCCCAGCGGCAGCGCTGCCTCCTGCCGACTAGCTTGTGACCAGGCCGCGCATTTGGCTGGGTTGTGGCGCAGCCCAATCTCCCCGAGGTTCCCCGTGAAATGTTCGAACGCCGCCGCACACGCAGCTGCTTCTCCGAGAAAGGTAACGTCGTCTGCGTAGGCCAGGCAGACCACGGACGGGAAGGCAAGTGCCGTCTTCGTCAGCGCTGGGTGTATGGTAGCCGCAAACAGCAGCGGACCGAGGGGATCCCGCTGCCGCACCCTGGTCTCGCTCAGAAGAGGTGGGTGCGAAAAGCCGGCGTCCAGACATAGTGCAGAGGGCAGGCCGTACAACAGTTTTACTAGCGGCAGAAGCGATTCGAGAGTGGATCCGCGAAGTGATGCGACGATGGCTGCCTGATTAACGCTGTTGAACGCGTTCGCCAGGTCAGCCTGCAGGACCAAGGCACCCGTGTTCACGGCGAGGTAAGTGCGTGTGATGTGAATAATTGCCTCTGCCCCTCCCGGGACTGCCACGCCGAATTGGTGGGGTAAGAAGAAATCTCGAGCTGCACCCGCGATCAGGGTAAGCGTCGTTTTAGCAGCGAGGCGTGTGATGCTTTCGCCAATAGCAATTGGTCGTGTCCCCCCATCGGGCTTGCTCAGGGCAATCAATCTTGAGGCGGTGAGGAGCTCGGCCACTGCAGGTGGTAACTTTCATGTGAGTATCGTGTTGACTAGTGCGTGCAGGTGTTTCCCAACGGAGTGGTTGATCAGCGCTGCATCGCGTAAGTGTTCAAACGTTGTTCCTGAGGGGCCCGCTCCCACTCCCATCTCACAGCTTCCCAGCACCTTGGAGAAGACCGCAAACGGTGCCGATAGGTGAGGGTCAGGTGCTGGAAATGTCCAGTCAGGTGGGGAGGTGGGCGCAGGTGGGTACTTGGCGCGCAGGGCCTCCAGCACAGTTGGAGAGGGAATGCTGACTGGCGTGGCTTCAAGTGCCATCACGGCTCGGCGTAGGCTGCCACGTCGTGCCAACCCCTCTGCCCTAGCGATGACACCAATGTCATCGGGCTGGTGTCTAGGTGGTTGGGGCCACATCTGTGAGCCCACTGTTTCAGTGTATAATTTGTCCCATTCTCCAGACAGAAACTGACGAAGGCGGGCACTGACTGCCTTCCAGTCTGGACGCCTAGGGGACAGCTGGCGAAGTGTTAATCGAGCGAGAAACAGGACGATCGTCCTTGCAGAAGGTGAGTCTGGATATTTCGTCAAGCGCAGCAGCGGAACCAACAAAGCTGGGGCGGAAAGTTTGCGTGGGTCTGGTGGGAGGTGGCGGGAGAGAGGTGCGTGGCGAGAGTCGCGCAGTTTCGTCAGGTCCCAAGTCCCTACGCTGGCGAATAGCGCGTCATCCTTAGCGAGTGATTCTGGGGATTTTTCCTCTGGGACTTGGGATGGGACGGGGTTACCGCCAGGTGCATTTTGAGGTCTGGCTTGGGTAGGGGTCTGAATGTGGGAATTCGGGGTTGGGATTGGTGGTGTGAAAATGTTGCCCGATGCGGCTCGGGTTGGTGTTGGGGGACCCCTCCAAATGGATCTCACTGCTGCAGCTCCCCCCACCATGTGAGATGCTGCTGCTGCTGCTCTGCCCGTTCAAGCAGGAGTCTGAAACTGCTCGTCGTCCAAGGACTCAGAGCTTGAAGTCGAGTCCGTGGACTCGGCAGCTACAAAGCTACTGTCTGAAGTGGTGGTTTCATCATCGCCGCTCATCTCGTTTAAAGCCCGCCGCCCCGCCTGCTGATACACGTTTTCTGGTCCACCTCCGCGTGCTCTCCCCCTGCGTCCCGCAGCTCCCCTTCCGCGGCCTGCTGTTCTTCCGCCAACTTGTCGGTCGCCGAGTGTCCGCGCGCCCTCCTCCCGACGTACCGATGAGTTCCCCTGAGGCTCCTGCCTTGGGGCGAACCGCGGAGAGCGATCCTGCTCCTCGCCCGCTTCCTCCTGCGCGCCCTGCCGCGAGCGTGCCTGTCGCGCCGTCAGCGTCTGCGGATCGGATCCGCCTCCGTTTCGAAGATCAGCAGCACGCTCTGGCCTCGCGCGGGGGCCGGTCCCTGCCTCAGCCGGAGCCTGCTCGCGCGGCGTCCGCCGAGCGCTCCGACGGAGTGGATGCGGCGCACCAGGAGCATTCCCTTCGCCGACGTTCGTTAGTGATTCACGACAATAGGCGGGGGAGCCGCAAGGAAGGTCTTCACGCTGGCCCGCGATTGCCGCGTTCGCCTCGTCACGTGGCGTCACGGAGTTGTTCGCGTGATCGCCGGTCACACCGCCACCGATCGCCCGCTCGCCGTCATTCTCGTCACCGTTCGCCCGTACGCCAATCGTCCCGTCCTCGATCGCCTCCGCGTTCGCCACGTCCCTCGAAGCGTCCACTGCTCGACTCTCCTCGTCGCGTGGTCCGTTCCCGTGACCGCCAGCGTCAGCGGGGCCCGTCTCGCCAGCAGTCGCCTGTGCGCTCGGACGCAAGTGGCCAGGGGCATCGCGGCGGCGGGGAGGTTACGGTCGCGGCGGAAAAGCCCCTCCAGCGCCGTCCGCAATGGAGCGCCGTCTTCTGGATAGGCTTGATGACGTGGAGAAGGAGCTTCGTCGTTCGCGTGCGGGGTCGGCGTCACCATCAGCTCCTCGCGCTGCTCCCGTCGTCCCTCTCTCCGCGCTCCTGACCCACAATCCTTTTGGATTCCCGGCGCGCTCAGATCGGCCACTGCCTGTGGGAATGGGCTTCGTAGGAGATGTTGGCGGGCCGCCGTGGGCTCAGTTTGTTCCGCCGCGTCCTCTTCCTGCTCCGCGTGATCTCGCCGTGTCGTCTCACCGTGCCCGCGCGTCTGCGTTGCTTCCGCCGATGAAGAAAGTTCCCACGGTGACCCTGGCCCGCCTATGGTCGCTGGCGGCGTCCCTGCAGAGCCTTGAGCGGATTCTCCAGGAGTCATATGACTCCATGCCGGTGAGCCCTCCGAGCAGGTTCTCTCAGAAACCGCGAGTTGATTGTCATGCGGCGGCGCCAGCGCTATTCGCGCTCGTAACGCCACTGCAGGTAGAGCCCTCGCCGGGAGCAACCTTGGCCAGCCAGCTGGCTGACTCGGCCCTGGGTCCGAGGACGCTTGTAGCAGGCTCTAGTACTCCTGTTGACGTTGTAGGCGCCACCGTGTTAGTGGTCCGCCAGTTGTGGTTGAACACGAGCGGAATGCTCGCTGCGGTAGAGGCGGACCGCATGTAGGCGCTCCCCCCTTGCGCGTATAGACCCGTTCCATCATCGACTTGCTAGGTGTCGATGCTTGCCTTGCTTGTATCGGATGCCTAAACTACTGTTTGTTGTTCCCCCTTGGCATCCCGAACGCGCGGCCGAAGGCCGCGCATGCGCCGGCGCGAAGCGCCGAAATTTTCAGAATGAACTGAATTCTGAGGATGAAAAGGCCACGAGAGCCTTTAAGTACTCATGGCAGAGGGCAGAAGGGTGAGTGCAAGGGCAGAAGGGGAGAGGCTAATCCTCTCTCTCTCTCTCTCTTGCGCGCTTTCGAACGAGCAACCGAAATTTTCAGAATGAACTGAATACTGAGGATGAAAAGGCCACGATAGCCTTTAAGTACTCATGGCAGAGGGCAGAAGGGTGAGTGCAAGGGTAGAAGGGGAGAGGCTAATCCTCTCTCTCTCTCGCTCTTTCGAACGAGCAACCAAAATTTTCAAAATGAACTGAATACTGAGGATGAAAAGGCCACGAGAGCCTTTAAGTACTCATGGCAGAGGGCAGAAGGGTGAGTGCAAGGGCAGAAGGGGAGAGGCTAATCCTCTCTCTCTCTCGCTCTTTCGAACGAGCAACCGAATTTTTTAGAATGAACTGCATACTGAGGATGAAAAGGCCACGAGAGCCTTTAAGTACTCATGGCAGAGGGCAGAAGGGTGAGTGCAAGGGCAGAAGGGGAGAGGCTAATCCTCTCTCTCTCTCTCTCTCGCTCTTCCGAACGAGCAACCGAAATTTTCAGAATGAACTGAATACTGAGGATGAAAAGGCCACGAGAGCCTTCAAGTACTCATGGCAGAGGGCAAAAGGGTGAGTGCAAGGGCAAAAGGGGAGAGGCTAATCCTCTCTCTCGAATGGTCCTTGCATTTCTTTGAGGGGTGGTACAACGGAAGATGCAAACACGCAAGCACAACAAACATCCAAACCGGCATCCAAACTATCTCAAGTCCCCTACCTACTCAGCCCCCCCCCCTGTCCGACCCTACTGTACGGGGCAGCTGGTTCAACTGGTGCAGCTGTCCCTCACTGAGAGGGATGATGGGTCCTCTAAAGCCGAGCTCGTCCGCCGCCAAGGCCTCATTGGTCTTGGTGCGGAGGGCGTTGGCCTGCGCCCGCTGGAGGCACACGCTCCAGCGCTGGCGGTACTCCGTCAGAAGCTTCGCTGCTTCGTAGGAGGTAGGAGCTGCGTTAAACCGCAGCTTTGCCGCCAGCTCCGCGCATTGCCGCAGGTAAGCCAACACCCCCGGCGAGGGGTAGCCATAAGTTTCCACTGCGAGCGCGTGGAACCCCACCCACGCGTTCCGCCGCGCGTACTTCTCCTCCTTTTTTGCTGCTGCCGCCCTAGCCGCCCAACCAGGAGCTCGGTTGCAGTTCTCGTCCTGGTATGACACCGGGTCCGTCACGGTCACGTCGCACATCCAAACCTCACCGGTCAGGGGATGACGGATGGTGACATCCGCCTTTAGGTTTTCAACCAGTGAGTAGACATACGTCTCCTTGTGGACCGTAAATCCCGCCTCAGCCCCAATGTTCGCTAGCTCATCCCGCAGAGCGTGATGGGTTGCGGTCATCCCTTTCCCCTTCTCGCAGCGCATGAGGTGGTTGGGGAGGCGGTCGTCAGGGAAGGTGGTGCGGTAGCGGCAGTCACAGCGTCTAGGCACTGGGAGGGGGAGGCCTAGGTGGAAGGCAGCTGCAGTTGAGAGCTGGGAAGGGCCCATCCGGAGCGAGGGGATGAGCGGGATCGCCAGCAGCCAATCCCCCGCGCCTGGGCCTAGCACCGACTGCATCCGTTGCGCGTGGCCAGAAAGGGGGTTGGGGCGCATCCGCCTTGCCTCGCGCATGACTCTCAAGAAGCGGCGGGAGTGAACCGCCAGCGCTAGGCTCTGCTGCAGCTTCAGTCCCTTGGGGTCCGCCTTCCCGGCCTGGAGCACCTCGAGAGCCTCGGGTGGGAGAGCTGCCTCAGCCGCAGCGAGGCGTGCAGGCAGCGCGTGCGGGGAGCCGTGGGTAGGGTCCAGTAGGGGGAGGAGCGCGGCGACAGCAGGGTGCAACGAGTCCTCCAGAGAGTGTAGTAGGTGGGCGGCGCTGATCACTGAAGCGAGGTAAGCGTAGCTGCCTTCAACGGCGGGGTCAGTGATGCCCAGACCTCCCAGAGTCACTGGCAGGGCCGCCTGCCGCCAAATCCTCCGCCTCTCCCGGGCACTCCTCGGCCTCATGATATGGGCCGAGTCCAGGAAGGTGTGTAGAAGCTGCTCCCCCCAAGCAGACCATTCCGCTTCAGGGAGAGCTTCCAGGGGGGTGGTTCTGGCCAGAAAGGAAGCTCGGCGGCTGACACAGCGGGTGAGGAGGAGGAGACTAAGCTGGGGGTCCATCTGGGCCAGCAGGGGGAGTGGGGATGCTGCTACTGCCAATCTCTCTCTCACAGCGCCCGCGCAGCCCCGGGGTGTGCCAACCGGGCTGCCGAGAATCTGCAAGCCCTCATCAGAGATAGTAATTCCCGGGGGAACTGCAGAGGAGTCGATTGGTGCGGCGGACCACGCCGCGCACTTGGCCGGGTTGTGTACCAGGCCGAGGGCGGCAAGTGCAGATGTGAGGTGGTCGAAAGCTGCTGTGCAGGCCGTGGCGTCGCCGAGCAGCGTGATGTCATCGGCGTACGCCAGCAGGACCACCTGAGGGTGTGCCGCCGCCGTGTCAACGAGGCACGGGTGGATGCTTGCCGCGAACAGGAGGGGGCCGAGCGGCTCCCCTTGGCGAACTCCTCTGGCGCTCTGCAGCGGGGCTGCGCCGAAGTCGTGGTCGAGGTAAAGCGAGGAGGGAGCCCCATAGGATAGGCGGACGAGGGGGATCAGCTCCTTCAGCGCCTCGTTTCTCAGTCCCTCGAACACCGCTCTCCTTTCGACCGCGTTGAATGCGTTCGCGAGGTCGATCTGCAGGGCCACTGCAGCAGGGTGCACTTCCAGGTACGTGCGAGCGGTGTGGATAGCCGCTTCGATCCCCCCTGCTACTGCTACTCCGAACTGAAGGGGAGCAAAGTGAGTACGGGCGGCCGGCGCGGTCAGGAAGAGGGCGGCCTTTGCTATAATCCGGAGGAGACACTCCCCCACCGCTATCGGCCGCGTCCCTCCTTGGGGTTTCGTAAAGGCTAGCAGGCGGGAGGCCGTGAGTAGATCCCCCGCGACTGTTGGGAGTTTTCCTGCTAGAGCCGTGTTGGAGAGGGCGAGGAGGTGGGTGAGTACTTCGGCATTTCCTAGGGCTGCGTCGCGGATGTGCTCGAAAGTGGTTCCTGAGGGGCCGGCCCCGACTCCGTTGGGGAGCTTGGCGAGGAGGCGCCTGAAGTCGCGGGCTTCGATAGTAGGCGGGTCTTCCGCCGTGGCGGTGTGGAGCCAGTCAGGGAGTAGTTGGCTGGCAGATGGATGTCTCGCCGCGAGGGCTTCCAACACTTCAGGTGAGGCAGGTGACACAGGGGTGGCCTGGAGGGATTGAAGTGATTTTGACAGGTTACCCCGTTTTGCCAGTCCTTCCGCCCTTGCTAGTATTCCAGTTGTGTCGGGTGCGTGGCGAGGCTGCGGAGGCAGGGAAATCGCCTGGACAGCTTCTTTGTATAGGTCCGCCCAGAGCCCTTGGCGAAATCGCAGGAGCCGATTCATCATCGCGCTCCAGTCAGGTTTACGGGCTGACGAGGTGCGGAGGAGTATGCGCGGGAGAAAGGTCAGTACTTTCCATCCTGGCGGAGACTCGGGATTGGCCGCCAGGTGGAGTAACGGTGTCAACATGCAGATCGCGAAGGAGTCGCGAAGGTCTTTGGGGGGGTGGCGAGCGAGAGGAGGTTGGCGACTGTCGCGCAGCGGGTCAAGGTCCCAGACTGCAACCTGAGCGAATAGCTCAGAATTTTTCGCCAGGTCGTCAGGTTTGAGCATCGGGGGGGTTGGACTCGGGGCTGCAGAATTTTCATTGGCTGTTGCAGAGTCAATTCTGTCTTCTGTCGCGGCTCGATTTCCCCCCCTTGCTTGAATTCCCCCCGCGGTTCGATTCCGACCTGAGGTTCGGTTTGCAGGTTCGCCTCTGGCCTGCTGGTTTGGGAACTCCGCTTCCCGCAGCAGCTCCAACTCTTCCTCGTCCTCCTCGGCCTCTGCTTCTAACATCCCCTCTCTTTCTAGGTTAAAAGCAGGGTCACCCCCCTCGCTTTCTTCATTCTCGACATCGTCCTCTGCCTCCTCGCTGGGCACCTCCTCGCCGCCTTCCGCGCCTTCACGCACTAGCCTTTCTGCAGTTCTCGCGTATCCGCTTGCGCCGGTGCGGCACCGATTTGAGCCTCGTGCTCCTCCACCTCTTCGTCCTCTCCCGTTCCCACGGCGTCCGCGGCGGTTGCCGCCGCGTCCCACGCGTATTCCCCGCGTTCCTCTTCCACCCGCAGCTCCCGCGTGCCCTGTCTGGGGCGCCTCGTTCGCCGCGTCCTCAATTGGTCGGCGCGCTGGCATCGGCTGCGGTGCTGTCGGGGGTGATGGATCCATCCGCAAGACGGGATCCGGAGCTCGAGGGTTCCGCGGAGAGCGCGCTGCCGGAGCCTGCGCCTGCCGGGCTTCGCCCGCGTGTCCCTGCGCACCCCTCTGCAAGCGAGCCCGTCCGCCGCTTCGAGCGGGTGCTAACTCTTCCCCATCGGCCTGCTGCGCGCCCCACCTCGCCGGAGTATTCGTGGGCCCCTGCACGTGTTGCGTCGAACCGCCCGGACGGACAGCCACGGCAGGAGCGCGGGCGCTCGCCTCCGCGTCAGCCTCCGCGGCAGCCCTCTCCTCGCCGACCTTCTCCTGAGCATCGCGAGACTCATCAGCGCAGAGAGGCCGATCAGCGGTCCCCTGCACGTCCTCGTTCACCTCGCCGCCCATCTCCTCGTGGTCGGGCAGGCCAGCGCTCACCCCGAGCGCGATTCCCCGCGCAACGCTCTCCGCGGCGATCTCCGGCGACGCGGGGGAGGGGGTCACCTGGGCGTCGCTGGGATTCGGGTCGTCGCGAGCAGTCCCCTCCGCGCCCGCATTCGGCTGGTTCCGGAGGCCGACGGGGCCGGCGGAATGGCGGTGGGCATGGCGGAAACGGTCGCGGGCAGGATCCTGCTCTAGATCAGGCCACGAGTGCGTTTGCGGAGGTTGTGCGTCAGGCGCGGGCGAGTGGAGAGCCGACTCACGTACACATTGAGGTGACCAACGGCCCTCCCTTCGCCGCGGACCCTGGCCAGGTGGCTCCTCTGCGCGCGCCGACGTTGCGCGAATATCAGCCCGCGCGGGAGGTGCGGGCTCAGTTCCGCACCCCTCGTCAAGTCCCGGGCTTCTCCGCGCAGCGCCTCTCTGTTGGCCGGACTCCTGGCTGGCCGACGGCGTTTCCTCGCGAAGCGCTGACTGCACATCCCTCCAGTCACGCGGGGAGAGACCCCATGCTGACCATGTGCAGGATTCTGAATGTGGCGGAGGCGTGCGAGGTGGTGGCGAACTTGCAGCTGGCGGTGTGTGCGGCCACGCGGAACTTTCCGAGCAGTTACGGTCCAGGGTCCCGAGGATCCTGCGTGACTTTGGCAGAATCGCTCGAGTCGCCGTTGGCACCCGTGTCGGAAGCGCCCGCCGGGGTAGCTCCCTTAGCGCGTACCTTCCCCCGCCACGTGGGGGATATTGTAGAGGCTGCTCGGGTTGGGACCCCCGTGGGCACACTTCAGTCGTCGGCGCATCTCCTTCTTGCAATGTCGGCGTGCATGCGCTCGATGCTGGAGATGGAGGGGGCGGAGCCGTACACGATGTAGGCTTCCGCCGCGTGTAGAATTGCATGCCGCGCCTCTTGCTGTTGCCCTGCTCCTTTGCTTTGGTGTGTGTGTGTGCCCCTTATAAGCCGAACCCAAGTTTTGTGTCTTGCCACCAGGAACGCGCGGCCGAAGGCCGCCGGCGCGAGCCGACGAAAATGAAACACCCACGAAATAATGAGGCAGGGAAGGCACAGAGGGCCCCTTAAGTAGGCTCAGAGGGAGAGGGAAGAGGGAGAGGGCTGAATGCTAAGGCCTTCTCTCTCTCGCTCTCTCGCCGACGAAAATGAAACACCCACGAAATAATGAGGCAGGGAAGGCACAGAGGGCCCCTTAAGTAGGCTCAGAGGGAGAGGGCAGAGGGAAGAGGGAGAGGGCTGAATGCTAAGGCCTTCTCTCTCTCTCTCTCTCTCTCTCTCTCTCTCTCTCTCTCTCTCTCTCTCTCTCTCTCTCTCTCTCTCGCTCTCTCGAGCGAGCTACCGATTTTTGCAGTGAGAATGAACTCACCACCAAACAATGAGGAGGAGAATGGGCTCCTTGCCCTTATATACTAGGGAATTAGGCAAAAATGGCTAAGAACTAGGCTAGGCTAAGGACCTAGACTAAAAACGGCTAAGGACTAGGACCTAAGGGTCTCTCTCAAATGGCCCTTTCATTGATTGATACAAGACTTAAAGGCATAGGGAAGGCATGTAGGGGATTGCCATGAGCCAGTCCCCCGCCCCATAGCCCGTGAGGGACATGAGGCGCTGGGTGTGGCCCAGCCGGGGGTTCAGTTCCATCTGTCTGGATGCTGTGATCTGGGCGGCACTCCGGCCCCCTTGGACTAGGAGTGCTAAGCGGTGTTGCAGCTGGCCCTTGGGTTTTGTCTGCTCCGCCGATAGAAGATCCCTCACCTCCTGCGAGAGGCTGTCCCTGCAGTCCCTGATCCACTGCTGCAATTCGGTGGGGCTGCGATCAGCTGCTGCGGGGGTGTCCAGTGCTGCTGTCAGTGTGGCCCCTGCCTGTCCCCCCAACTGGCTGAGGAGTGAGTGTGCCTGCACGAGACTCGCCAGAAAACTGTATCGGCCTTCCACTGTAGGGTCGGCGAGCCCCAGGCCGCCTAGGCTTGGAGGGAGTGAGGCTTGGTCCCAGATCCGTGCGTCCTCTGCCTCGCCTCTCGGGTGGCGCACCCCACAAGCATCTAGAAGCGTGTACAGCATTGCCCGGCCCCATCTTGACCACTCAGCTTCGGGTAGCAGGTAAAGAGGTGTGGTGCGTGCTAGGTACGAGATGCGCCTGGAGATACACCGTGTTAGTAGCAGCGCCGCTACTTGTGGGTCCATGGTGGCTATGTGGGGCAATGGAGACAACATTGTCTCTAGCTGTGACCGTAGAAAGGCCGCTGCCCCGTCCGTTGTGCCTATGAAGCTCCCAAGCACCCGCAATCCCTCCGCGTGCAGCGGGACCCCCTCAGGCAGCTGCTGGGGTTCTGTGGCTGCTGCTCTCCATGCGGCGCACTTCTCTGGGTTGTGGGTCAGTCCCACATCACGCAATCCCGTCGTGAAGTGACGGAAGGCGTCAGAACAATCCGCAGCAGGGCCCAGGAATGTGACGTCGTCGGCAAACGCGAGGCACAGGACTGATGGGTAAGCTGCTGCTGTCCTGGAAAGAATAGGGTGGATCCCCGCGGCAAACAGTAGTGGGCCTAGCGGGTCACCTTGTCGCACACCCGTTTCGCTAGCCAGAGCCTCGCAACCGAATCCCGCGTCAAGGAACAACTGGGCTGGGCGGCTATAGGATATTTTGATGAGGGGAAGGAGGCCCTGGAGGTCTGTGTCGCAAAGTGCGCCAACTATCGCTGCGCGGCTAATGGAGTTAAACGCATTTGCTAGGTCCGCCTGCAGGATAAGCGCGTCTGGGTTTGCGCTAGTGAAGGCTCTCGCGGCGTGGATTATCGCCTCGCTGCCGCCTTGGACGGACACGCAGTATTGTAGCGGGAGGAAGTGCGCGCGGCATTCGTGAGAGAGGGCTGAGAGGGCGGACTTAGCTGCTAACCGTAGGATACATTCGCCTACCGCGATGGGTCTAGTGCCTCCGTCTGGCTTTGCTAGAGCTATGAGGCGGCTAGCAGTTAGTAACGAGCAAATCTCCTCAGGCAGCCTGCCTTGCAGGATGGTGTTGACGAGGGCATGGAGGTGTGTGGTAACCCCCGCGTTGGCGAGTGATGCGTCGCGGAGGTGTTCAAATGTCATACCCGAAGGTCCTCCTCCCACCCCGTTCTCACAGCGACATAACATTTTAATGAAGTCCCCCTTTTCCATCGAAGCAGCTTGTACAGAATCGGGGATGCTCCAATCGATGGATCCAGGTGGCGCGGGGGGGTGTTTTGCTTTGAGAGCGGCGAGGATAGTTGCAGATGGGTCAGCGACCGGCGTTGACTCAAGGGCGAGGATCGCCCTGCGAAGGCTGCCTTTTCGTCCAAGGCCTTCTGCCCTGGCTCGTTTGCCTATGGCATCTGGCGCATGACGAGGTGGGTGGGGTCCGGTAATTGCGGTAACCGCCGCGTCGTACAGCTGCTGCCATTCGCCCTTGTTGAATTGGCGAAATCGTTGCTTGACTGCCGGCCAATCGGGCTTCTCGGTTGACGGGAGGCGAAGGGTGAGGCGCGGGATAAAAAGTAACAGGCGCCAGCCTGCGACCGACGTAGGGTTCCGCGCGAGGTGGAGTGGTGTCAGGAGGGCAGTTGCGAAAAGTGGGCGAATGTCAGCGGGGAGTTTACGCGACAGTGGGGGCTGACGACTGTCGCGTAGGGGGGACAGGTCTCAATTTTCCACTTCGCCGAACCGCACCAAGTCCTTGGCCAGTTGTTCAGGCGAGAATTGGCGGGTCTCTGATGCGGTGGTGTCCGGTCCTGGCTGGTTCGATTCGCCACCTGCTGCAGCTGGGATTGGGGCGGCTCGGCATGGTCTTGGGTTTCCCCGGCGCCTGCCTTCCCGTTCCTCCTCCACTAGCTCCCCCGATTCTTCCGTGGTGGATTCTTCCACCACCTCTGCTATAAAGGTAGGGTCTCTCCCCTCCTCCTCAGCTTCATCGTCCTCCACTCTTCGAGTTAAGGCGCGGCGTGCTTCCCTCTGGAAGCCATTCTCCGGTCCGCCTCCCCTTCCAGTCGCTCCTCCTCGTCCGCACCCTCGTCCGCCCCGCGATGCCCGTGTCGATTGGCGACGAGTATTATTCGTACTCGCCGCGGCCCTTTGTCGTGGCGTGGTCGCAAGTGCCCCTCCTGCCTCGTCGTCCCCGGCGCCTGCGGCTGTGGGGATGTCGCCTCTTCCCGCACCTCAATCTGCGCCGTCGTCGGTGACTCAGGCTGGCTGTGTCCTCGCGCCTGCTGCCCCGCCCGTTCCCCCCGAGGCGAAGTTGTCTGCCCCTGGCGTGGCGCCTGGTCATGCGCCCGCGTCGCCACCTGCTCCCGCGCTCGCCCCGACGTCCGCTCCCGCCCCTGCCCCTGGGCCTGTTGTAGTGTCTGATCCTGCGCACGCTTCTGCGACTGCGCCGGTGGTTCCACCTGTCCCCGTGGTGGTGCCGGCGCCCGTGCCTGTGGTTGCGGCGTCGTCAGCTGCTGTTGGAGAAGCCTCCGCGCCGCCGCCGGTTGCGCCTGCCGTGGCGCCTTCTGCAGCTGCTGGTGCGGACCCGACTTACCAGCCACCTCCAGCCACCAGCGTCGGCCTGAGCTCGGCGGAGGTTCAGTTGGCTCGCGTGTCGCCTCCGGATGCTCCTGCGCCTCTGCCTGCGGCAGTAACCGTGCCGCCTCCGACCAATCCTGCGGGTACTGCTCCCGCATCCCTTGCTCCTGTTCCTCCTGCTCAACGTCCTTCGTCCCCGGGCCGTCGTCAGCATCGGCCCCATTCCCCTGCGCCGCGTGACGAGCGAGAGACGTCCCGGCGGCGGCACGATTCACCTCGCCGCCGTGGTTCGCAGGCGAACTGGGCTGCCCCCCGTGGCGGCCGAGGGGGCTGGTGGGGAGGGCGTGGTCGCGGTGGCGGCTGGGTGTATGATCAGCCGGTGACGATGGCTGACTTGCAGCGAGTCGTGTCCGACGCAATGCGCGAGGAGCGGAACGGGCGGGCGAGCCTGAGCAATTCGCCGCGCCACGCTCCTGTGCCGGTGTCTCATCCTCCGCCTGCGCCCGCTCCTCCTCTTCCCGCGACTGCCGCACCTCCTCTTCAAGCTCCCGCCGCGTCTGCTACTGCTCGTGGGAACCGTCTCCGGCTGCCGTGGGTTCCTCCTGTGGCGGGCGTGGAGTTTGTGACTGCGGGCGGGGGACCAGTGACGCCGCAGTATCCGTCCCTGCTGCCTGTAGCTCCTGATCCTCCGGCAGCTGATCTTCCGGTACAGTCGCTGGTTGGGCCTTCTCCTTCGGTGGATGTGCCCGAGGCGTCGCTCGGGCAGCTGTGGCGTCTCTCTGAGGGTCTGCGGGCTGTTCACCTGATCCAGGTGTATTGCCACGCGGCTCTTTCTCGTGGCGTGCCTCTGGTAGGCGGCCCTCTGGACGAGCGCTCGAATGCCGCTGACAGGATTGCCGAGCTCCTAGCGCCCGTGTTGGCTGCGCCCGCGCGGGGTGGAGTTGCGGGCGTTGGACAGCTTGGGACTGCGCTCCGTGGTTTGCGCCGGGTGATGCGCGCAGCGACTGCAGTCGACCTGATCGGCGCAACCACTGTGGTGGTGCGCGAACTTCATCGCTCGCTGACGGGTCTTCTCGGCGTCCTTGATGCGGATCAGATGTAGCATCCGCCTTTCCCTGCGTCATGATGTTCCCGTGTGTTTCCTAGGCAGGTGTAGGTGTAGACATTTCGTGTATGTCTTGGTTTATTGTTGCTTGTGCTTTAATCCCTTGCCGTCCCCTTCACGCGTGGCCGAAGGCCGCGCTGTCGAGCGTCGGCCGCCGAAGGCGGCCGGCGCGAGCCGCTCGGTTAGGAGAACAAATGACCACTGAAATGAATAATGAGAGCCAAGGACCTGGTCCTAGGCCTTTATACTAGGCTGGAGAGGGCTGGAGAGGCTAAGGACTAGGCCTCTCTCTCTCTCTCTCTCTCTCTCTCTCTCTCTCTCTCTCTCTCTCTCTCTCTCTCTCTCTCTCTCTCTCTCTCTCTCGCTCGGTTAGGAGAACAAATGACCACTGAAATAAATAATGAGAGCCAAGGACCTGGTCCTAGGCCTTTATACTAGGCTGGAGAGGGCTGGAGAGGCTAAGGACTAGGCCTCTCTCTCTCTCTCTCTCTCTCTCTCTCTCTCTCTCTCTCTCTCTCTCTCTCTCTCTCTCTCTCTCTCTCTCTCTCTCTCTCGCTCGGTTAGGAGAACAAATGACCACTGAAATGAATAATGAGAGCCAAGGACCTGGTCCTAGGCCTTTATACTAGGCTGGAGAGGGCTGGAGAGGCTAAGGACTAGGCCTCTCTCTCTCTCTCTCTCTCTCTCTCTCTCTCTCTCTCTCTCTCTCTCTCTCTCTCTCTCTCTCTCTCTCTCTCTCAAATGGTCCGTTGTATTAATTCAGCAGGGGTACAGACATGCAGTTCTATCCATGATAACCTCAATCCCATAAGCCCATCAACTCACCCCTCTTCCCCTCCCCTCCCCCTTGAGTGACCCTCTAGCCCTCCAGCGTGTGGAGGATGTCCCCCAGGTGCAGCGGCCAGGGGTCCGCTGCCATCTGGGGGTGTGCTGCCTCAATCCCAGCCCTGGCCTTGGTGTGCAGGGCGTTCGCCTGGGAGCGCTGGAGGGCCACTGACCAGCGCTGGCTGAAGTGGCAGGCCATCTTCTTGGCGGATTTCGCCAAGGGGCTGGCCCTGAAGCGGTTCCTAGCTGCTGCTGTGGCCAGCAGTTTCAGGAACGCCGTCGTGGGGGGCGCGTTTGCCCCATAGGTCTCGACGGCCAGGGCGCAGAACACCACGTGTTCAGTGTGTCGGTAGTAGTCCCTCTCCTTCCGCTTGTGTGCCTCCCTTGCAGCCCAACCTGGGGGTTTGCGGGCCGTAGGGTCTCGGTTCTGCAGCACAGGGTCAGTGATAGTGGTGTCTGTGATCCAGGTCTCTCCGCTGTCCGGGTCTTGTACAATCACATCTGCCTTCTTCGGGTCATCCGGAGGTGAGTACATCGCATTCTCCAGGTATACCACCAGCTGCGCCTCCCTCGCCATTTTAGCCATGGCGAAGGCCAGCTGGTTGTGTGTGCGCGTCCTGTCGGGGCCTGTGCTGCAGCGGAGTAAGTGGTTGGGTAGGCTGCAGTCGGCTACGAGTTCTCCGCACTCGCACACGGTTGGTACATTCTGTCGGATGCCCATGCGGAAGGCCAGGGCCGCTCGGAACTGTCCCGGTGAGAAGCAGAGGTCCGGGGTCAAGGGTAGTGCCTGCAGCCACGCTCCCGCTCCCTCTCCTCTCAGGCTGAGTGTGTGGCCCATCTCGGGGGCTGACTGTATTGCGCCTGACTCCTCTCTTAGGGCGTCGGCCTTTGCCGCGTGCACTTCCTGGGAGAGGGCGCGCTGCAGCTGGTCCTGGGACGGGGTTTGCTGCTCCTCCCGTAGGTTTTGTAGCGCCAGCGGTGGCAGTCGCCCCTCCATGTCCTGGATGGTCACGGAGTGCGCTGCAGACGGCTGCAGGGCGTTGCTGTCGGCCCCTAGCGGCGCGGTTGCCGGTAAGTCCAGGGAGCGGAGCAGGCGCAGCGCCTCTGTTGTAGATGCCAGGTAGGCCGGTGCTGCTTCAGTTGTGGGGTCCGTAAGGCCCAGTCCGCCTAGGGCTACTGGGAGAGTTGCCTGTCGGAGAAGGAAGTTGAACTCGGCTTGTCGGCGTGGCGGTTGAATGCTGGCGGCGGTCAAGGCAGTGTTCAGTAATTCGGCGCACCATTTGTGCCATTCCGAGAGCGGTAAGACGTCAGCTGGGGTAGTGCGCAGCAGGTAGCCGACTCTGCGGCTGATGCAACGAGACAGTAGCAGGAGGGCGTGTTGTGGGTGGCTATGTTGCACCTGACGCCCTGGAAGGGCAGCGTCCAGCGTCCGGACGTTCACGTCCGGACGCTGGACGCGTCAAATCGGTTTGACGCTGGACGTTCGGGGAAAAAAAATTCGGGCAGCCCGAAAAAAAATTCTCCTGCGAAATTGACTCGCAATTTCATCGCGACCAGAATTGACGATGAAATTGCCAACTGGGGGCCGCGTTTTTTACCTAAAAAACGCAACCCTCATTTATTCCCCCCCCACACATTTGTACCCATCCACATCTACTTCTCCCAACCTGGTCGACCCCCAACTAAACTAGAGAACCAGATCTAGGTCAGGAGTGTTCAACTTGTGTGTGAGATTAGGAGATTTTCAGGATTTTCTGGATTTTATGGAGTGTTTATAACTATAGGTGACAAATGTGAACTTCTTGCATTCTAACCCCTGCGTATCCTTACTAGGCAGGTTTTTTTACCCCTGCCCGGAAAACATTTTTGCCCTGCCCGGACTAGCGTCAAGCGGGCGTCCAGGGCAGAGGGCACCGGGCGTCAAGCGTCTGGACGCCCCGTCCAGACGCCAGCGTCAAAAACGCCTGACGCGTCAGGCGCAACATAGGTGGGTGGATGGACGCCAGAGAGCCCAAGGGGGCTGCCGCGTCTGTCAGGGTGCTGCGGACAAAATCAGAGCAGAAGCTCTGCGACCCCACTGGACTTCCCAACACCCGCACCCCCTCGCGGGTGAAGGGAAGGCCCTCGGGGAGTACGTCCCCTCCTAGCGGCACGGTGGACCACGCCGACGACTTCCTAAAGTTGCAGGTGAGACCGTCCCGTGCCAGCAGCGGCGTGAGCTCCCTGAGCGCTTCCAGCGTCGCCGCCGCGGGTCCAATCATGGTTATGTCGTCCGCGTAAGCGAGGACCGTGACTTCGGGGTGCTCCGTTGCTACGTGCCTGAGGTGCTGCTGGATAGACGCTGCGAATAACAGAGGTCCGAGGGGATCCCCCTGTCTGGCTCCCCTTCCGCTGGTGAGTGCCGTGGAATTGAAGCATGGGTCCAGCAGCAGTGGTGAAGATGCTGCGTAGAAAGAGCGTGTGAAGGGGATTAGGGGAGCTAGTGGGGAGCCGATGAGTGCGTTGAAGAACGTGCTCCTCTCTACTGAGTTGAACGCGTTCTCAATGTCGAGCTGGAGTACTAGGCTGGAGGGCTGCACCGTGGTGAGGTCTCGGACAGCATGGATGACAAATTCTGCACCTCCAGGGACTGTCACGCCAAATTGCTGAGGTAGGAAAAAATTTCGCGTTTCTCCTTGCATATCTGAGAGCGCCACCTTCGCCGCCAGCCTAAGCAATGACTCTCCAATCGCAATGGGACGTACCCCCCCCCCTGGTTTGGCGAAGGCTATAAGGCGGGACGGTGTCAGAACATATATATAGCTTATGCAGTTGTGTAGGCTATAGTGGGGTATCCCATAGGGGGTACAACCCAATTATGGTTTCCTATATGTACTCACTTCATTCATAGTTCATTCATTCTTGTTCAAACTTTCTCATGGTATCGAGCAGGTTCCCCCTTGGGAACTGTGCTTAGGGCCCACCACATCGTTTTTTTTTCCTGCCCGAAGCGCGCTCAGCCCGAGTCGCGCTCCGGGCCCTCACTTCGTCGAGCCGCCCTAGCGGCCCTTCATCGCGGCCCCGCCGCCTCTCTCCTAGCGGCCCCGCCGCCCTACCTAGCGGCCCCGCCGCCCTACCTCGCGGCCTCGCCGCCCTATTGCGCGGCCCCGCCGCCCTACCTAGCGGCCCCGCCGCCCTTACTCGCGGCCTCGCCGCCCCATTGCGCGGCCCCGCCGCCCTACCTCGCGGCCTCGCCGCCCCATCGTGAGGCCCCGCCGCCCTACCGAGCGGCCCCGCCGCCCTTCCTCGCGGCCCCGCCGCCCCATCGCGCGGCCCCGCCGCCCTACCTAGCGGCCCCGCCGCCCTTCCTCTCGGCCCCGCCGCCCCATCGCGCGGCCCCGCCGCCCTTCCTCGCGGCCCCGCCGCCCCATCGCGCGGCCCCCGCCACTCTACCACGCGGCCCCGCTGCCCTATCTCGCGGCCCTGCCGCCCTACCCAGCGGCCCCGCCGCCCTTCTGCAGCGGCCCCGCCGCTCCTCTACAGCGGCCAAGCCGCCCAGCAGCAGCGCAGCCGAGCCGCCCAGCAGCTGCAGCCGAGCCGCCCGGCCGCCCACCAGCCGAGCCGCCGTGCAGCCGACCGCCCAGCCGCCGAGCCGCCCAGCCGTCGAGCCGCCCTGCAGCCGAGCCGCCCGGGAGCCGAGCCGCCCTGCCGCCGAGCCGCCCTGCCGCCGAGCTGCCCGGGAGCCGAGCCGCCGAGCCGCCCTGCCGCCGAGCCGCCCTGCCGCCGAGCCGCCCGGGAGCCGAGCCGCCCAGCAGCCGAGCCGCCGAGCCGCCCAGCTGCCGGGCCGCCCTACTACCGAGCCGCCCGACCTGCCCTGCCTGGTGAGCACAGCACCACTGTTACTGCGTGCCCTTCCCCTACTGCTTGCACTACTACACTGTCGTCGTCATGGCTACCCCTAGTGTTTTCGCTTTTGACGCTGAGGGTCGAGCCATTGACTTTGAGGTCTGGGTCGACGACCTGCAGCTGTTCTTACAGTGCGATAGGACGGACGGTCTTTCCCTCTTTGACCTCACCTCTGGCGCCTCTCCTGCCCCTGCTGCTGATGCTGACCCCACTGTTCGCTCTCAGTGGGCCACCCGCGATGCTGCTGCTCGTCTTGCTGTGCGTCGTCACCTGCCTACCACTGAGCG